AAAATGAAAACAGGTTGAGACTTGGTTGAGGGGACAGGCACACGGGGGAAGACTGGGAGGGATGGCGAGCTCAACGATTTGGGTGGGCAGATGGTACCGACATATGGGCCTGTTAGGGGCTAAATAAATAAATAAACACTCGCACATAAATACTGAGATGAACTGTGAGTGCCACACACTGTCGGCCAACTTAGCCAGCTGAGAGAGAGAGCGAGAGCGCAAATGGGAGAGAGCTTCCGCTGAAATGGCTGGCAGATTTCTAAATAGAACACCACTGCAGAAAAAACATGCGCGCACACACAGTTGTGATGGGGATGACAATAGGCTTTGCAGATTTGAGCCTCAGTGTGATGCCTAATCTCCAAGTAAGTGTACATCATCAATGTGGGTATTTTAACAAAAGAGGGGGGTAAAAGATACAGAGAGAACATAATCTGTGTTTCAAATGTGGATGCATTTGGGTGCACTAAATATAGTCTCCATATACAGGTCATGGAGTGGCAAAGCTTTTTCTTCCATCTCCCCTTTCTGCCTCTGTCTGGTTCAGCTGCTGTCATGTCTGCCTTGCTTCCACGCTACTATCTATACCTTCTCCACATCTCGCCTGCCTCCTGCTCAACCCTCAAAAGCTTGTGGCTAGTTCCTGAGAGAGGCATTATCCTGCAAATTCTCCACCCATATCAACTGTACACTAATGCCAATCTTTTGTCAGGATCTGGCGTCCGGCATAGGGAAACAAATATAGTAAGACTGATACGGTACTGGTGTCTGTCTGCCTGCCTGCTTGCTCTCTGAGCAATTTACAGATGTTTGTGCACATAAATTGTACAGGTGATCATCAGATTAAAATTTAGAAATTCATTTTTGACTTCCTCTGGCTGAAATGTACCACCTGCCTTCATTACACTGCCTCACACATTTCCATAGACGCCTCTGTGCACCCAAAGATGATGTTATGAGCACTTGTTTATAGGCTGTTTATACTGAAAATTTCAAGTGTGTACATGGGTTTAATGTGTAAGCAACTATTTCAACAACAACCTGTCCTCGACAATTTTTGAGAGTAGCTGGCTGACATAAGCATTAAAAATGCAGATACTCCGTTATGCTCCTACCTTGGTTCGGTACTTGCGAGTGAAACATAATTTTTTTCGTTGATTATGTTTTCTCGGTACAGGATATCGAAAGCAGCCAAAAAGCATGCTAAATGTAACTAAACACTGTATCTGTGGCATGCCGATATAAATATGTCAAATCAACCGAGGTCCGGATGTTTGTCTGCACACATCTTTAGATTTCTACAAGCACATTAGTAAAGCCTAAAACCAAAAAAAACAAAACAAAAGAGTGCATTCCTTCTGGTGCACGCACTTTTTTGATTGGTTGACATCACTGCCATCTCGCCACTTTATATTCTGCTTGGCTCTCTGCCCTCGTCATGTCTGCAAATTTAATTTGATTGCAGCTGTAATCTGCCAGCTAGTTGATTGACTTTGCCAAGCATTGTCCTTCTCCTGCCTTAATGGAGAAGGGGTAGTTTAAGTTACAACGTCTTATCCTGTCCCTGCAAACCTGCACTCCCATTGTGTGCTTTGGTCACCAGAGAGTACTCTTCTAGAACTGGGTAAACTAATGGGATCTCCAGGGAGAATTTGAGCTGACCTGAATTTTCTGTCATCCGTCTTGTTGTCACATTAGACAGGAAGTCTTCAGTGATGGCCCTCTGACAAATTCAATTCTTAAGTTATCGGTTGCTGTGAATCATCATATGTCAAATATGTTTCCAAAAATTATTTATATTCTCATACAGCCCAACTGGATTAGCAAATACATTTTGAAGAAAAGCGATATCATCATGATTGTATTTTTATTGACAATAAAAATGACATCACTGTCAGTCTGTACTCGGGTCACATTCACTCACTTGTGCTGGGGTTTTTCATGCCCAGAGTTTAATCTGTTGTCATGAGAAATCCCAGAAGTGTAATAATAATTTAACACTTAAACTTTATATGATGATGAAGGCCATGGGTCAAGGTTAAAAGCTACAAAAGGAAGAAGTATGTCATGTTTATACTGAAGCTGTTGGGTTAATGGCAGTTCAGGCAGGACCACTTTAGCAAAAAGATTATTGATATTTAAGTCTATACTAATTTATTATTTGGCAAAATGACTTTGTTGTGGCACCTTCTTGATCTTCCAAATACACTCATGAAAAGTCAAAGATGGCAAGAAGAGCAGCACAATCCCGAGCACTTAACACGGCAATGACAACAGAGACAACAGATATTACACTAAGTAAAGGCTTCCTCTCCTCACCCCCAACCGGTTGCATGGTTGCAGATGGCTGCCCCTCCCTGAGCGGATCTGCCGGACGTTTCTTACTGTTAAAAGGGATTTTTTCCTTTCCACTGTCACCCCGGTGTCATAGGGGGATTGTTGTTGGTGTTTTCTCCCTGTTAATGTAGAGTCTTAACTTACGAGATAAAGTGCCATGAAGCAACTTTTATTGTGATCTGGTGCTACATAAATACAATTGAACTAAACCAAATTGTACGATACAACATGAGATTAGGATCGGGGGTGCAAGTGGGTTGTGAATCAGCTTGCAGACTGCAGTTGTGCAGAGGATGGTAGCTGGGCCATGAGCTTTTGTGAACTTGTATTTAGCTCCTCTGGTCTGTCAGAATTGCAGCTAATCTTACAGTCAAGCTAAAAGAAAGCATGGGTGGAGACTACAGCGTGACATATGATTGCAATCTCATTGCTTTTGAAAAAGCTGCTGTGAAGACAGGAACCAGGTTTGCGATCACTTGCAGTCGATTGCCATCTTCAAAATGACTTTGGTCAAGATGGTGGTGAAACAAAACAATAAAATAGATGGATAAGAAGATAGACCAGTTATATTCTACTCAATGAATTGGCATTTGCAATCTGTTGTCATTTGTATATACAGGAATTCACATGACCAATTTACATTCAGAATCAAACTAGAACCTACTTGAAATGTGAAATTATGAAATTCCTTCACAAATAGTGACTTTGTTGATGCACTCAACAATCTAAACTAAATTACTTGATTTTTTGAAATTTAGTGCTGGTCAAGGTTAACAAGAACTCCTACCAAAGCAGACTATTATGCCAAATTCCAGTCTAAAACATACACAGGTTAAGAATTTGGGATGTAAAATTTGTTAACACAAATATCAACAAGTGCAAAACTTTAAATATCTTAATTCGTTTGGTTTAAAGATTCCAAGGTCCAACATTGCTGAACTGGGAGAGAATGAATGTGGCAACATTGGTACTGGAATTTTCTTCCATTAATGACATGTTTTCGATGCTTTGGGGACTGTCGACAGCGTGCACACTTTTAATGCTTTTAATACATGCTTCAGTGTGTGACCAATTTAGAGTTACCACACTTAATGGCTACCTTTAATTTTCTGCACATCATTAGGGGTCTCCTTTGAGGCACAACAGATGATCATTAGCTTTTAGTTATTTGTTAAGCTACAATACAGCTCTAGCATTTTTAAATGAACTACAGCCAGATTCACAGCCAGAAAAATCAGTAAAAGAAAATTCATGGGCATTGCTCAAATGTGAAATTGATATCCAGGATCTAACAAGATCTCCCATCTTTCATACAGTTGATTACCCACACTCACTACATTAAAGGCACTGGTACTTATATAGCACCTTTCTACTTAATTTGGGTACTCAAAGCGCTTGCTTTCTTTCATCCAATAACACTTACACATTCATAAAGTGTTTCTTTATCTACACCTGAGCACTTTTATCTAACATTCAAAACACACATCACATAAATAATGGGACAAATCAGGCAAATCCTTCATTCAACACAGCGCCTCTAAGAGCCCAGATTTGATTCACTGACCCTGGTAGGTTGGTAGACCGCTCACCTAACCACCTGGTTCTTCAACCAGCATTTGTTGCAAGTCAGTCATTGTGGTGTGTTGGCTGACTAACAAATACTGTTCGGGTCCACATGCTGCTAAACCCCCATTTTTAAAAATGAATACATTTACAGATTTACAATATGCCTTGTTTCTTCAGACTTCAACCATCCAATCCAATAAATGGCATCAAACAATAGTCAATAGCAGAATAAGCTGTTTGGCATTGGAAGAAAAGATTTGGTAAGTTTTTCACTGTGCAACCCACGTAATCGACTCTGTTGCTCAACCCCCTCACAAAACACGGCATCATTTAAGGGAAAATGAAGGCTTTCCAATGGTATAAGCTTTATTCTCAAGCAAGACTGTTACAAGAAAGAAATAATTGGCCAAAAACAAAATTCCTTAATTTTTGCGTTTATATTTAAAGTGTAACTAGGCCATGAACTGAAACCAAAGCCTGGTTTTAACTTTGTTTCTTATAACTTTGGTATTGACAGACTATCCGATCAATATGTGGGTTAATGGTGAATGCAGGATGATCAATTGTCCTGGTTTATATTTTTTAGTTCACCAGCTGGCCCACAATACAGAGCAAAGAAAAAAAGAAAACAGTTTGTGATGTACTTAGATAGTATGTCTGTTAAGAAGTAAAGAAATGCAAATTAAACTGCCAACAAGGTAAACGCTACACAAGAGAACTGCAATAGAGAAAAAGCTGCACCCACAGAGGAGTTCTGAGTTAGCCTGCAGTTGAACTGTTAGCAGCAGTGAAATAACGCTGTTTGTTCCCACTGACTAATTTAATAAAGAGAAACTCTGAGAACTTCATTACAATGTTATCAGATCATTAATAAAATGAATCTGACTGGGCATGAACACACATGCGAGATAAACATTGACACACACACACACGCACACACACACACACGCACGCACACGCACACACACACACACACACACACACACACACACACACAATCATTTGGATTTTTTTTTTTTTTTGACTGACAGACATGTATTTCTGCACTGTACACACAAACATTTACACGAGTGTCAGAGTCACTGTGAGTAACTTACGGGTTTCCATAGTCCCAGACAACGCACTGAGGATCTGATGTACCCTGCAAGATACAGGGTGAGGGGGAGGGGGGGAGAGGAGAAGATAAGCTGTTATTGCCAGTCAAGAGGATGAGTGAGAGAGAAGGCAGCAGAGAGAGAACACAGAATAGCTCATTGCCAGAGGAGAAAGAGTGATGCTGCATGGATGACGGTAAGAAGTAAACAGACAATGAAAGAGAAGGATTGAGATAGACGACAGGAGGGAGAGATGGAAAAAGAGTCATTGTCAGAGGACAACGCAGCAAACAGCTGCTTCTGCTGCTGCAGCCGAAGAGAAAAAAAGGTGCATGAGCTATAAATTGAGAGTTTTAGGGATGACAAAGGAAAAGCCATTTCATGGACAATAACTAGGGTCGTAAACATCCTGTGGGTGGGGTAAAAACATTAACATTCTTCACTTAAGTGCAACCACAGCAAAAAGTAGTCAGTTAAGTGTAAAAAGCTATGAAGTAAAATGTTATTAATTAAACATTTGGCCCTTTAAGAGTGTGCAAAGTTTCACTAATGTACCATTTTTTTCTTTTTAAAAAAGCAAAGTCAAAGTAACTGGATGCTGGTGATTTTCTCTCAGCTTACCCTTAATCCATTTAGTCATTGAAGCTAAAGTTCGCTCAGTGGCATGTGGTGGCAAAGAAAGACTTGTCATGACTCAATCAGAGAATCAATCATGGGATCAATATCTTTAACCAGCTCATAGCAACTTGTTCCACCAGAGATCTTCAGTGATCTCTGCATCGATCACTTTTTAAATGGAGCCTCTATGTCCTTTCAACCTGTGTGCTTGGTAACGAGTGGACTGTGACTTGGTTTTGTCTGAATCAAATGGTTATTTGAGACATTTTTGCTTCAATCAAGTGACTGAAAACACTTAAAATGGCGCTTTGGACCTGACAAAATCAGCAACTATTTAAGAACCAACTATTAGAAACATTTTCTTGGTTCTGTGGGGTAACAAAAAAGAGTTCAGCTTCAATTTTAATATCCACAACTGAAATGCTTTTATTCCACTGGGCCAACGCAGAGGAAAATCTACCATTATGTTGGCCCTTCCTGAATCCTGCATTAGGCACTTTGCCTTTGAGCTCCCCCTTATGGCAAAGGGGATTATAGCAGTAAGCCGACAGCCAGAGTGCTGTGTAGATTATAAAAAGGATAATGTGATCTTAACTGAAGCCTCAGGAAAATCTGAAGAAATTACTTCTCAAGTTAAAATGCTTTCTGATAATTAACTATATTTGAAATTGACAAAAAAGAAGGGAAGTAAGACATACACATTGTAGCCTGAATTGTAAGGATTTATTCCTCTAAAGGCAAGGTCATCCTTCCTTCTCTGAACAGTTCATTACTGATCTCCAATGAATCAGTGCATCCAGGGATCTCTGCATGACTGGACTTGAAAGGACAGGATGATGCAACATTTATATACTCGGGATCAGAGACTGGGTGACACGGATTGATGGATGACAGTGCTTTGTTCAGCCTCACACACAGACAGCCACCACCGACTATAGATGTCCCGTGGCGTGCATTAGCGTGCTGAGCTCTGTTAGCATTCAGCTATCAATCAACGAGTGTCCTATTGGACCATTCGCTACAGCGGGATTGACACCTGTGCACTCCTGCAGTGTCTGCCTCTTTTTTTAGTGCTCATACTTTGCATAATGACAGCGTCTGCTCAGCTGATGGTTATCAAAGGGAGAAACGTGCCTCTGCAATTCTAACAGTGGCATTTGTGGACAGTGATAGCTGGTACCTACCTTAAATACTCTGTCTTTTTTTCCTCTCTTTAAAGGAACAGCAGTTTCCTTTAACGCATTCAGCAATACATGCAATAATGAATACTGGCTGTGAATGGGCTAAGCTAATATGATGAAATGAGCTAATGTAACAAAACATGACTGCTCTGGTCTTAAAAGCCCTTCACTTTAAGATCATAGGTTTAGAGTATGAAATGGAGAAAACCAGGATGAGGCTTTTTGACTGATGAAAATGACCTAGATTACATTGAAATTACCAGGAAAGCTTATGGCTCAAGCTAACCAGAACTTTCTTTCATAATTTAAAAGGCTACATTAAGGATGGTTGAAGGAGGGGTTGTGGTGTAACACTTGGCATATGGTCTACAGCAGGGACACAGGACTTTCTGGCCTCCTGCTTTCTACCTACCATTAAAGACACACATACCCACGCACACACACATTAGGACACCGGGGAGATACACAGGGAGTCTGACTGGAGCAGATGTCCTCTCAGAGAAGACATGACCCAGCACAGAGACCCTAACATTCCCCTATGAGAGTGAAGCCTGAGGCAGCTGTTGCCAGGCCACTGCTGTAGCAGCTGGATGTTTCTACATTGGCCAAAGTCGACACAACTACAGAAGACACTGTATTCTGCCCTTTTAAAGAAAAAGCATTATTAATGCTGTATTAATATTATATGGAAAAACTGGAACTATTTTTTTCTTTGGTGGACATTTGAAGTTATTATTCTCAAGAGTTAACATCTAGATCACTGGCTGCTTGTTAGCCGACTCTGTCTAAATGTAACCTTTACAGGCGCTCCTACTCAGGAGTTGTTACTTTTACAGGGAGTGCAGAATTATTGGGCAAATGAGTATTTTGTCCACATCATCCTCTTCATGCATGTTGTCTTACTCCAAGCTGTATAGGCTCGAAAGCCTACTACCAATTAAGCACATAAGGTGATGTGCATCTCTGTAATGAGAAGGGGTGTGGTCTAATGACATCAACACCCTATATCAGGTGTGCATAATTATTAGGCAACGTCCTTTCCTTTGGCAAAATGGGTTGACAGGCTCAGAAAAGTCAAAAATAGTGAGATATCTTGCAGAGGGATGCAGCAGTCTCAAAATTGCAAAGCTTCTGAAGCGTGATAATCGAACAATCAAGCGTTTCATTCAAAATAGTCAACAGGGTCGCAAGAAGCGTGTGGAAAAACCAAGGCGCAAAATAACTGCCCATGAACTGAGAAAAGTCAAGCATGCAGCTGCCAAGATGCCACTTGCCACCAGTTTGGCCATATTTCAGAGCTGCAACATCACTGTAGTGCCCAAAAGCACAAGGTGTGCAATACTCAGAGACATGGCCAAGGTAAGAAAGGCTGAAAGACAACTACCACTGAACAAGACACACAAGCTGAAACGTCATGACTGGGCCAAGAAATATCTCAAGACTGGTTTTTCTAAGGTTTTATGGACTGATGAAATGAGAGTGAGTCTTGATGGGCCAGATGGATGGGCCCGTGGCTGGATTGGTAAAGGGCAGAGAGCTCCAGTCCGACTCAGATGCCAGCAAGGTGGAGGTGGAGTACTGGTTTGGGCTGGTATCATCAAAGATGAGCTTGTGGGGCCTTTTCGGGTTGAGGATGGAGTCAAGCTCAACTCCCAGTCCTACTGCCAGTTTCTGGAAGACACCTTCTTCAAGCAGTGGTACAGGAAGAAGTCTGCATCCTTCAAGAAAAACATGATTTTCATGCAGGACAATGCTCCATCACACGCGTCCAAGTACTCCACAGCGTGGCTGGCAAGGAAGGGTATAAAAGAAGAAAAACTAATGACATGGCCACCATGTTCACCTGATCTGAACCCCATTGAGAACCTGTGGTCCATCATCAAATGTGAGATTTACAAGGAGGGAAAACAGTACACCTCTCTGAACAGTGTCTGGGAGGCTGTGGTTGCTGCTGCACGCAATGTTGATGGTGAACAGATCAAAACACTGACAGAATCCATGGATGGCAGGCTTTTGAGTGTCCTTGCAAAGAAAGGTGGCTATATTGGTCGCTGATTTGTTTTTGTTTTGTTTTTGAATGTCAGAAATGTATATTTGTGAATGTGGAGATGTTATATTGGTTTCACTGGTAAAAATAAATAATTGAAATGGGTATATATTTGTTTTTTGTTAAGTTGCCTAATAATTATGCACAGTAATAGTCACCTGCACACACAGATATCCCCCTAAAATAGCTAAAACTAAAAACAAACTAAAAACTACTTCCAAAAACATTCAGCTTTGATATTAAGTTTTTTGGGTTCATTGAGAACATGGTTGTTTGTTTGAGTTGTTTAAACCAACCCAAACAAACTCCTCATGTTCCCCCATCTAGTATTATGTTACCTGTAAACCATTTTGGGAATGTAACATAGTTGGGAGCACATGTCGAGGACTTCTCATACCAGCACTAGATGGTGGAAGTTTGGTTTTGGAGACTGTTTGGTTTTTGGGTCTGTTAACAGCTGTGAGCATGACAACTGATCCGTTTGACTTAAGTTTCAGAAAGAACCTTCTTGGGAGGAATAACATATGTGTAGCAAAGGTGATTTGCTGTCATAGCGGTGCACTTCAAATTAAATTTTAAATTAAATAACATTTGAATTGAAAGAGATGACGAAGAACGGAGTAAAGTACTCGCTGGAACACAGCATAAGCAAACCTAATTCTAGTCCGCTGAGTTCTCCCTGTCTGTGCACGGCAAACTCAGATGGCACTCAACGCTTCCTCACAAGTGAACGCAGACAGTAGCTGTGTCCTAAAACGTAGGCTGCATCCTTCGGAGGCCGCATTTGAAGGCCGATTACGTCACAGCTAGGCGACGAAGGCTGTCCAAATTCGTCGACTCTTTCAAATGCAGCCAACAAATGCGTCCTTCATTTCCCCGAATTTGAAGGATCGGTCAGGTGTGGCCCACCATATCCCAGAATTCATAGCACGGCCCAGCCAATTCCAATTCCCAACAATGGCGGCCGCTATTAAGTTTTAATATTACTCTTATTAATCTTTCTGGGTCACAAAATAAACTTTTAACATACTTTCAGGCGAGAAAGTAGCCATGTAAACTTCAAATATCTGCTTGGTTTATTAAGACATTGCATATTTGCAAAAGTGCTCCGATATTTTCGGAGACGTCTGTTACCCACCCGCTCGATAGCTAGCCGGGGGGGTTCAATGGTCACTCGACCCGGCGAGAGCAGCGGACTCCCGGCTTCATCATTTTCTCAGGTTAAAGATAATATATAAGTCACTCGGATGACTTAAAAATGTAATTGTTTGGCTTTTTTCGATGTTTTATTTGTTCTGCAGTAAATCGGTTTGGCGTAGATCAAAGTTATTAGAGTAGATTAGATTAAACAAAACTTTATTAATCCCTCGGGTGGGTTTCTCTGGGATTTTCACACAGCTGAATAAACGTCAAACAAACTGTGAGACGGTCAAGAATTTACGCCAGTGTCCTGTTATATTTTAGATAGCAAAGAGCAGACGGCCGAGTTTATTAAACTCCACAGAGACAGCGGTGACGCAAATCTGAAGGCTAGACTGTCGCATTTCACAACCTCGCACTTCCGGCCTTTTCGGTCTTCGAAGGACCTGGCCCACGTAGACCGCGCAGGCCGGGTCCTCCAAAGGATTCGGCCTACGTTTTGGGACACAGCTAGTGTCTGTTTTTTTTCTGATACCTCACGCTGAGGACTGTATAGACAGCATCAGCTCAGCAACAGATGTCAGTAAGTTAGACCTCCTTACAGGTTACTGCCAAATCCTGCTTGCTGAAGTCTCAGCATTTGTTACGCCTGATCACTTTTTGCAGTGTACTGTGATGGTCTTTTGAGATGAAAAATGCACCTGTGACCTTTCAAAGGCTAATGACCACCGTCCTGGGTAATGTTTCAAACTGCAATATTTATCTAGTTGATGTGGTTATTTATTTTCCCCATTGGGCATAGCACATTGCAACAATGAATCATTTTTTTTTGAAGCAGAAGCTTCTCTGACACTAAACTTGGCAACATGTGAGTTTGGCAAGGCCACTGTCACCTAACTTTTGAAGGAACCTTTATGACCAGATTCATCCTGTTGAGGCTAAGGTTTCTGCCATTGTCGACCTTTCCTGTACCTACCTCCAGAAGGGAGATAGGTACATTCCTTGGGATGGCTAGATACTACAGTGCTTTCTATAGAAAATCTCCCAAGTAAAGGCACCTCTAACTAGGTTGTGCAGCCCAATGTAGCTATTTGTCTGGAGCAGTGAATGGCAATGTGCTGTTGCTATTCCAGATTTTTCCAAGCCTTTCCATACTCTTGTCATTTTTTTTATACATACAGTTTTGCTTCAGCTTTTTTGTATGTTATAACCCGCTCTTCTCTGTGGCTGGCAAGGACCAATAACAGCACAAACAAGAGTACCACACAGACCGATTGTTTGTGACACTGCCTCTTATAACCAACAACAACTTATAGACAACATCTGCAAAGTTGCCTGTAGTCTGTGTGCAAGGCCACTGTAAAACCATCATGCTTCTCCTTTAGCCATAAGATGGAATGACGAACTGTCCAGCCCTGTGTCAGCAAGGATAAGCTGCACTTCCGCCTTCATGAAATTTTGCACATGTGTCAGGTCTGGTGAAAATTTATGTATTTTTGGGTCTTAAACATGGGCGGTTCAACATGATTCTACAGCGCCACCTACAATCGCTTTATTGAAGTACTAGTAGCAACATGAAGTAAGCATTAGGTGATAATCATCATCACTTCATCTACATGAAACTTTCATTAGTGGTTTATCAAATTACGTGCAGCAGCAAGACTTTTAGTTGGTGGACACTCTTTATCGCCACCTAGTGTTCACAGGTGGTCAGCGGTAAATTTATACAACACCCAAATAGCATCCCAGGCTTAATTCATTCATGTTACCGCGTAAAACGTCTCACCTTCAGCACACCTGGATGTTCACTGAGGTGCAAGGGCCATACTGTTGCTGCTTTAATTTAACTTGAGACTATTCAGTTGATTAATGAGTAATATAGGGCAGAGCATTTCTGATGCATGACATATCAAGGGACTAGATGCATCTGCTGCATTAATTGACATCACTCTTCCTTTAAAAAAAAATCCATTTACAATTCCCACCCCAATGTTTAGAATAATTTGATATACATAGGATATATTGTTTAAAATAGTAACAATGGCATCTCATCCACTGGTTTAGGGTGTGCATGTGATCTACTATATGTGTCAGCCCTGGGCTGTGTGCCAGATAAGTGTCCGTCCTCAGCGGGAGCCTCTGGTTTATAGTACAAAGCAGCATGCAAGGATCAGCATTAAGACATCATCTGCTAGAAAGAGGATGTGCAACCTGCAATACCTTTGCTTTGCCAAAAGCGTTAAAAAGCAGAATAATAGGAAGATAAAAGATAGAGGCATATAAAGAAACTGCCATAATTGTGTAATGAATCAGTGGTTTACAGCAGGGAGATGAACTCACAGGGAATAGCGAATGAATACTAAGTCTTTCTAAATGAAACTTTGCAATACTTTTGACCCTCAAGTCCTGGTCAACACAGCAAGAGACTGATTCCACTTTCATTTTAGCATGTCTTCGTCAATATATATATAGTGTGTGTGTGTGTGTGTGTGTTCCTGTCTAGCTATCTTTGTGAGGACCAAAATCTGCATTCTACTATACTTGTGAGAACCAACAGTCACTTGTGAGGACACACAACCCGGTCCTCACAAATTTGAAGGCATTTAAAGGCATTTTTGAGGCTCAAAATGTGGTTTTAGTGTCAGGGTTATAATTAGGTTATGGTTAGGTTTAGGGTAAGGATTAGGGTTAGGCATTCATTTTTAATGGTTAGGGTTAGAGTAAGGGGCTAGGGAAAGCATTATGTCAATGAAGGTCCTCACTAAGATAGCTGAAGGAGGTTGTGTGTGTGTGTGTTGTCAGGAGGGAGCTGTTAAATATTTAACATTATCTTCAAAACTATGTCCACCTTTACACAGCAGAATGCCCAAAGAAACCCACATCACATCGAGGTCGTGAAGCATGCCTCTCATTAAACTAGCACTTAGTCCTTTTCCGCTGAAGACACCCCATGAGTCGTTATAATAACGCACTCCAATGTAATATAAACTGAACAGCTACCAGGAGACAGCGCGATACAGGGAAGTCAAAAAGGTCTGCGTTTATTCAGGCAATTCACCGAGCGCTATGGCGCTTTATAGCATGCAGCACTTTGAGCTTCATCTGAACTTAGAAAACATGGGTCGGCTGGGAGAAGAGGAGTTGCTTAAAGCCTTAAACAAATTTATTTTCTTGGAAAATACTTACTACAAGCAGAAAAATTCAAACCCTTGCACTAGAAAAAACTTCATTTACTTCATTTATTTTAAATGTTTTGGGTTTTTTTTTTTTTCATTTGGGAAAGTTTAGATGATGAAAATAAAAAACATGATGTGATGCATTCTTTCATCCCTTAAAACTGCTTACAAGACAATCTAACTTTTTCTCAGTGGTCCGAAGCAGAAGCTTAGCGGTTTTGAATAGTTGCCAGAGAAAAGAAAACAGCCTTTTATATACTTACATTTAATAGCGGTGACAGCTCCACCACCACCATGGGCTCACTGGGTTGTGGTTCCGGTCGTATTGTCACGGTCAGGATTTTGGAGTTGATCACTGCAGGCGGACTGTAAAGACATTCGTTTTTTTATTTTTATCTTTTTTGTTTTTTAGACAAGTGTTGGTGTACATTTAAGATGGGGCTGAATGGGCTCTATGACTTTGGAGAAAGACCAAAAATAATACATACAAATACCAACAAATAACAAAAGCAAACTAGTAGGAGGTGAGGAAATCTAAAAGAGAGAAGAAAGAGAGCGCCTGACTAAAAACAGAATACTGCACCCATTAACATTCAGCATGGCTACAGAGTGAAAAGGGTTTTAACAGATCCAGCTAATCCACAACCAAGAGCAGTGACCTGAATAAAAGGGCCCGGGGCCAGCACAAACACCATATCACAATGGCCTTTTTCACAACCTCCTGATTTCTTCTAACTTTTATTACTGCATGTTCTATGCAAGTTTTGGGACCCATTAGGCCCACACCCAATCCAAGCTCAGTGTACACTTCCAAAAATATACTGACAACTCAAAGGAAGGGGGAAACATCTAGGGAAGTGTGCTTTTTGATAAGTGTGGTAAGCAGGCGCAAGGACACAAGAGAAGCAGCAGAGTTGTAAAAGGGAAGAAAAGACATATGGAGAACTGGAAGTTCGAAAGAAGGGAAGGAAAAAATAGAAAATGCACAGAAATAAAGAGAGACTGTTGTAAGAATGAAGAGACCACGAGAGAGATTAAAAAGTCAGACAAAGCGCAAGAAAAAAATGAGTTACAGAAAGGTAAAAGAAAGGACAGCGAAAAGATAAGAATGAAATGTGGTTTTAAATCCTCAATAACAATAAAGAATAATTAAGTACTCACGTCGCTGGAGGTAAAATGATGCCAAGTGTCCTGTACAAGATGGCTCCAATGACATAGTACATTGTAGATTCTGTTTCGGCTTCTTGCTCTGAAAGAAAAGAAAATCAGTACGTTTTAATACCTTCAAAATAAACTCCAAATCTTTCAGCCCATCGGCCGGTTTATCCCATATCCCCCTTGTTATCTTGTTCAAAGGCTCTTGTTGCTGAAAACTACAATGCAATGAAATTTTCACAACAACAAAAACAGCTTGAGGCAAATGGAAAATATTTCATATCTAACATTTTATTTCAACCCCCCCCCAAAAAAAAAGTCAAACAGCTCTAGACTAGAATCTGCTAAAACTCATCAATGGCTATACACTGATGCTAGGAGCACAATGAAAATGACATGGAAACTTGTGACAAGTTCAAGACGCAACTTTGGGCTGTGGTGCGTAAATGCTCTGTATGATTTATTGCTGCCCTTGCTAATCAGTGTCAGAAATACAAGTAACAGTATGTACAGGCCAAAGTTGTTAGGACACCACTGGCCACTCTCTCGCGATTTCTGAGAATAGAAGTTGTAGACTAGTGACAGGGAAAGTAAAGAGAGCAGTTCTAACCTGTAGAGCTAACCAGCTTCTGCAGTACTTTGATGTAAAAACTAATTTTAAAAATGGCCGTATGTTGGCTTTGTTGGGATAAACTGAAATATAAATCAGTAACTGAAGTCATGTGTAACCATATTCTGCACTGGGGTATTGAGCCTACCAAGGAAGAAACCAATGCTACTGCTACTAGCACTGCTAAGGTTAGATAACTCTGCAAAATATAATAAAAAAAACCTATGAATTTGCAATGTCATACAACGCACAGTGTTGCAAATTTCAGCAACATTTAAAACACGCTTGAATTAATCAAGAACGTAATTAACAGTTTCATGTATCTCCTAAAATACAGATATAATATATGCTTGGCTAATATTTAACATTGCGCATTTAAAGTGTGCGCAGTTTGAAATGTTTTCTTTTACACTACGCTGCTGCAGGTTTGTTCTCTTGTTTAAACGCCCAGAAAATTAGTCGCTATGAACGCTCCTAATGTTTACCACTGTTTAAATATGCATGACCTATATGCATGCAGCTGTAAGAAACAAACATAACTTGATCTCCTGACATTTCATCAAAACCTGGATTGCATTCATTATTCATCTGTTTCATTCATAAACTCCTTCAGACAGGTCTGTGTTTGCCCTTCCACGTAACCGGTGAGTAGTAGTATGTATAATGTGATTGATTTAACAGTGCAGCACCTCTGGTGCATTGATAATAGACAATAGAAGATAGTGGAGAAATGAAGGATGTGGACAGGATAGCTTAAAACTAATAACCCTCTTTTCTTTAAGGATAAGCCTGATGATTTTCCATAAAGTCTGTAGTTTTACTATTTAACATAAATTAAGTTTGAGCTAAGTTGCACTGGTCAACTAAATAATTAGATTTACCTGTCTCATCAACCATCAACATTTCAGCCTAATTTAAATGTACTCCTTAAATGACACTAACATGCTCTGGTGGCTACATCAAAATAAGAAAGGTGAGAATATTGCAGCGCCTTCCCAACGTTTCTGGCAGCTACACATTCCATATCCAGAGTAATTATGCTTCTCAGCTGAAAACGTAAGTCAGGTGCAAGACGCTGGTTTCACACTTTGTGTGGGTGGAGACACTGTGTCACTTTGTTTCCTTTGAGCAGTTATAGTAGCTCAGCATTACTGTGTATCTAGAACTGCTGAAGTATCAAAACCTCATTCCTAAAAGCAAGCCTTTTACCAACATGCACGAAACATGAGTAAAGAAAAGTCAGTGTGTCAGACAACTTCAGACACTGTCCTTGTCCCTCTCGCTTCATGTTAGTTCCAAATCCCCTTTCTTCCTCTTCTCCTCCACCTCAGCACACACCCCTCTTATCCATCTCTGTTGTTGTTGCTATTCTCCCATGCACTTTTCAACTTTTTCACTCTTTTCAATAGTCCTCTTTTACACCCCCTTGCCTTCCATCGCTCTATTGAGTGTTCTTTTGCCAAAAAGAGCAGGAGCTCCCAAGGAGATGTAGTGTCCCTCTGTAAATGTCACTTTGTCTCAAGTGAGAGGAGGCAGAAGGAAGCAGAAGGGGGAAAGTATGAGGGAAAGAGTTCATGCTGAGAGATGCCACTCCCTCCTTTGCCCTTTTAGGCTGAGAGAGAGAGGGGGGGGGGGGAGGAGACAGAGAGGGCTGATGGTATCAGACACACTGGGTGACTCATCCAAAATCTGTCTGCCTGCTGCCTAAGAGGTAATACTTGGGAAGAGAGATAGCTATGCAAAGACAGACGAGAAGAGAAAGAGGAAGAGACAAAAAGATCTCAACTGTGGAAAAAAACGCAATTGTGAGACTTGCGAGGAGGCAAAAAAAACAGATCAAAGTCAGCATGAGAAAGCCTGCAAGTTTGATGGATCCTAATTGGACAGTGTCTGCCAAGGCATGCAAATGAGAAAGTCAATGTATTATGGGTAAATGGTAAATCTATGTGAGGGGGTGGCACTCCTACGCTTGAGGATGATTAATACCACAAAAGCACTCAATCACAAAACTCTAATTTCCCATGAACAGACTTTTTGTCACTCTGCCCTTGCTAAACATCTAAATGATTGGTGGTCAGCTGTAATCCAGGAAAATGGCAAACCACCAGTTACCAGCTGTGAACTTTAATATGTCATTTATCAGGAAAATATATTCTTGCAGTTGATTCTAAGCCATAACTTAGCAATTTAATCGAAGACAGAAAGCTCCTTGTCAGTTGTTTTTTTCTTTCTTCCTTAATTTTCAGTACTTTTCTGTTTTGCACACCACAACAAGTGTGGTCTCCTGCTTAAATAAACATATTGATCAGGCTCAGGCTACTTTGGTTCAGTGATGCCAATATTACCACTAACTGCCTTCTATTTAACTTCTAAGTTGCTCAATTGCTTTAAATTTTGGAAACTTCTAAACTGACCCAACTTTTCAAGACACGTGTATATGCGATTGTGAATATCCAATGCAGCTGATGGTCTTTGCCTCAGCAGCTCACTACTAATAAGTCTGCATGAATTCCCATGGCACTGATTTGCACTGATCTGGTGTATTTCCAGCTTTTAATTATAGGTGGCATGTTTTCTGCCTACTGGAAACTGTGTATGGTTTAGGTAATAAGGACACTGCCTGGATAAAGTATTTCCAGAAAGAACCACACTGAACCTTTGTGGAAAAAGGCTTTTCTGGCAATTGTGCAATGCAGTGATGAGCTACCTTGGTTCAAAGTCCCAAAAATACCCACAGGAAGCAGCTGTCTAGAATGGTTACCACTCTAATTCTGGCAAACAGTTGGCCAAGGAAAATGAGCAGAGCTAGTGTTTATTATTGGTTGGCATCACAAATTATAGCACCTTTCATACCTTTTTACATCTTTTAACTACTTTTTCTTGCCAAGCCACCATAGGCCTATTCCTGTCAATTTTCAGCTGGAACAATGACATGTTCTCTGGATGCAAATTTTTACAAGTCTGCAAAATAATTTCCTGCAGATTGAACACTGGAATCATCTATTCAACTGTGTTCCCAAGTGTATAATTACTAATTCCCACTCCAAGTTTCTGTCAACTAAGGAAAAAGACCGCAAAAAGACCACCAGTTTCCTATGACACCACCATCTCTATGAACAGTCCTGACCTCTCTGTCTGTGTTTGTGATTTAGCCCCTTGTCTTTTTACTCTAATCTAGATATTTAAAGTATGACTTGTGTTCATAATAATCCATGGGACCACTCGCTACAGCAATGAGTTCATTGAGCATGCCTGTAAATCCCTAATCCAGTTAGCGCAATGGCAGTTACAGGCAAGTATTTGCTTTAATTCAAACCACATACACCGATATAATTCGTGTGTGTGACCACTTGTTATTATATCTACAAAAGAGGTGGTGCGAGTACAGTTCGCAGTAAAGAGTAAAGATGCCTGCATTTATGAGAAATACAGGTATACTTTTTTAAATAAACTAAACATTTCCTAACATATCACAGTCTTTAAGAGAGTGTGGAAGTGTGTTTCTGAAGATGTCAACTCAGGTTAACAACTCAGGCGTCAGCCCCAATTGATGCTCAATGAATCACCGAATTTCCAGCTCCATCTCACACACTGAAAGGGAGAATCATGAGAAGCAAAACAGCAAAGGAGGCGGCTGTTGAGTTAAAAGTTAACAACTCATAACCATGAGCATGAACCACCAATGGTGTATTTGAAATATGAAGCCATTGCTGACTTGTATGTTTGGATCGATGTGTGTACATGGCTGCGAGACAGAGTGCGCTGCCTGTTCGTACGATGGCAAGAGAAAAAGAGACAGTGGAGAGAGAGAGACGGAGAGTGGAAGTTTGTCACCTCGAAAATCAGTGAAGAACAGTCCCAGCCTCTGCCCACTGAAGCGATTCATGAACCTATCTATTGGCTCTGCGTGCGTGCGCTGGCGTGCGCACTTACAGACACAACGGTGCCAATAGGGCTTTATGAGCATGTTTAAGCTGTCCATCTGAGATAGGCTCTCATTACAGGGTAAATGAACCAAACAAACCGATAGCAATCAACTGAGGACCTCAACTCATGAACTGCCAATGGGAAGTGGCAGAGTTCCCACAGGGCAAAGAGTACTAATAATGTCCTAACTCATAAAGCTATATGCGGTTTGGATGAAACAATTTACCAAATAGTGTATGCTAAAATGCCAATTGCATGTCCTGAATATCACAGCGTAACTGTAATGCAGCTGGTCACTTTTATGGCACAATAAGCCCTGCAAGAGACAAAACATTCAACACGACAAACAATAAGGATAATGGACAAGAAAAAAGAACAGGATTGGAGGAAAAATGGCATAAAGTAAGGAAAGTAAGTTCGAAAAACACAACATGGAGAGCAAGCAAGGCGGAAACTTTGAAAAGCAATGGCGTTAAACCGATCCAGCTTAAAACCTGCTGTTCAACCGTTGAGATATCTGAATTCACTGTTCCATAAAAATGCGCTTAATAGGCTAGTAGAAGGCTGGATGCTAGGTGGTTTAGAATTAGCACAATACATGGTGCACAATAAAGCATCAGAGGTGACGTGCCCTGAGGTTAGTATACAGGATATCTTGAGCGCCAATCAAAGGGAGTTTGTGCCATCAGTGCAAGTCAGAGGTCAGAGGAAGCTCTGCTCTCTTGGCCTGCAGTCTCTCTGAACTTTAATTTAGGTAGGGGACGGGGATGCCTGACTGAAAGTCTGCCAGTGTAATTTCCTGTGGGAAGCGACCTTTGCCTTTGTTCGTAGAGGATAGCATCTGCCTCTGTATTTCTCATTTCTACTTCAAACCATTACTATTTAACATCATTTTTCTTTCTCCTTTACAAATTTAGCTTCCATCCCATTCTGGGATCATCTATGTAGTTTCTCCTCCTTTTTTAACTCTCGCCATTTGTGTTTGCTTGAAACTGCACGAAAAAAAAATGTAGCCTCGACTAAACGCAGTCAACATTCTTGCGCTGCTCAAAGTGAATGGATTTTGAAAATTGTATGAGACTCAATGCTCTCAGGGGGAAGCAACACACTTCTTCACAGATGAAAGACTGGCATCTTCTTGAGAAGCCCTCTAGGGCCTCTTTACAGTCCAAATCCTTCTCAGCACTACCCTTTAACGCCCCTGAGAAACCTTCTGCTTCAGTGAGAAACATCTCTGAGTATGAGAATTCACATGGAGGAACCTCTACTTGCCAAGCTGATCTGACCTTAGATTATGAAACCATGAGTTGGTTCTTTTCATATATCAAAGATTTAAGAGAGTGAGCAAGAATTACAACTACAACGTATGTACTTTATAGTTAAGAATAGACTATGAAAGCCTTCCTAACCTTGTGTTTCCCATCTTTTTTATAGAAAAAAGCCAAACAAAGAAATACATATGATCTCATGTTTATGAGCTGAAACTGGCAACCTAAAAGATTAGATCAACCCTGGTCAGTAGACAAACCACATTTCCTTTTTTTCTTACCTTCAGGTGGGATGGTGAAAACCTCTTTCGGGATGTAGAGCTTATCTTCCGCTGTTCGGGCCCAGTCCTTCATGCCCCTCCGGCCCTTCATGGGGAAGTTGATATCGCTGGAAACTGCTGACACTGGTTCTCTCTGAATGGTTACCACTGGACAAACGACAAATGAAAACAAAACCCACATGAAAACTCACTTAGGCATGACACTGGGAAAATAAACAAAGAGTGCTGGTTAAAAGACAAAAATCAGACAAAAACAATAAAGAAAACTTCACAAAAAAATACACTGTTAAAAATTGACGTGCTGGTCATGTGTTTACAGATTGAAATCAATACTTGGATACAAAAAAATCTAAATCATCGATCATGCATAGTACAAATAAAACCCTCCCAACTGAATTCTAACTGTGATGAAATACATTACTGTGCAGATGTCTTGAGCCATTTTGCTTCTACAGAGCAAGAATTTCTTGAAATACTCATTTTCAGCTCGGTCCTTTTACCTGAGCATATATAGAGGAACACTTATTTTTTGTCTGTTAAACCACTTAACACTGACCATCATTCAAAAATAAAAAGAGTATCTAACTCAAGAAATGAACCAGAGTTGTGTCTACACATAAAAGAGAACCCATTTTAAATTCTTTAGGCACTTTGCTACCAGCAGCTCATCATTTGTTCCAATTTCTGTAGCCGAATCTATGAAAAATGGCAGCAATAATACAGTTTGACTTTAATAAAATAGTACTTTTACAACCAGCAAGGTGATTCCCAAAAACCTATCTACCAAATGCTTGCCATTTCTCAGGATGAAGTGCCAAGTGTCCTAACTGGGTAAGTGGACTACAAAAGAAGAACTGACTGGCCTAAAAATACTGGCAGCCACCAATGCTACCCCTCAGCTTCCCAGTAGATACTCCTCTAGTATAAATCTAAAAATCTATAAAAGCAATTTCACAAAATATATATAAATATCTTTGAAAGTTGATGTGCTGGTCATATGTAGTTAAATTCTGAATTATTGGAATTTTTAGAAACTTTTGGAAACTTTTCTAACAATCATAGGTGATTGTCAGAAAAGTTCACGTCTGAAATTCACCTTGAGGTCACTGGGATCCAAACTCATCTGAGAGTTTTAGTAGATGCACCTATGGTATGAATGTCAAAATCAGGGGTAAAAACTATCTACAGAAAAAATTACCAGTATCTGAAAGTCATGTCCTTCAAAAATAAGAAAAGAAAATCCAGCAAAGACCTGACACAGGACCTGAGAGATACATCTGGACCTCTGGTTGATTCATCAACTATATATGTTAAGCCGCTCAAGACTTTTGTGCAGTACTGTAAGTCGTCCGGATGTTTGTGTACAAAAAATCTTTCATCTGCTCCTGTGAAGCCGTGTGATCTGACAGCAATGAGTGGGCCTTACTGAGGTTGTTGGTAACCACTAGAAAACTCTGAAAAGGCTTCTGGGCCTCTCCAATGAGGTGAATGAAATCTTCCAATATCCTCATCAGCAAAGCAGCACCGGGAGCGATCTGTGGACAGCACGATGATAGAAAGATGAACGGAAGGATGTCATAAGTGCAATTATAACCCACAGCCAACCATCTTCTATGAGACACGTCTCAACCACTGATACCTTTTTACTCACTGCATTACCTCAACTACCGAATGTGTTCCTGGGCTGTAAATCCTAATCACATGGTTTATAATATTATATTTGGCTTTTTTTCTTAAAATTATTATATCCAGATGGCAAGCAAACACAATTCGCTGCAGGGGTACCACATTGGGTCCCATACAAAGCTTGCACAAAGACGCACAGGATATTGTGCATTTTTAAAACTCAAAGAAACATTAATAATAGGTAGAATCAAACCCATTTTCCATCACCACACATAAACATTTACAAAAAGATCTATTTATGACACTTGGTGATGCAGACAGTCAGTTGTGATGATAAGGAGGTGCACAGAAGCGCACACGAGGACATAAAGTACCAGACATTCACATAAATGCAGAGCCTTACCTGGTGAGCGTCCTCCCATTTTTCTAAATTTTCAATGTCCAACATGTGGCTGACAATCTGGAAGAATTTCTAGATAAAAAGAAATAAAAAAGGATGTGCTCAGTTGTTGAAGCCAGACCATCAGGCAGCTATTTCCTGGATATCAAATAACTACTGATAACCTTGCTGTGGTTAGCACTGCAGCAATACTGCCTCTTATTCTCAATCATGTCTGGTTCATTCATTTGCTGTACACAGGCATATTGTAAGTCATAAATAATAACGTCTGTGAAATGATCGACTGAGACGGGAACATTTTGCTCGCTTACAGGCACTGGGAAAAGAAAAATGCTGCTAAAAAAAAAAATCCGCCCTGTGAGGCCATAGCAACTGTGCAGCTGTAGTTAATTGTTATGCACACCCTGTGCAGTAGAAAGTGAAGCTGCGGATGGAATAAATTTTGTTGTAAGTGACTGTGTGTGTGTGTTTGTGTGAGATTTATTTATTTATTTATGTATTTATGTCATGGTTGGTGACTTTAGAAGGCTCCGGGCGAATGCCGAGACGTTTTTCCTACCTGCACGTCGTCGGGAGCTGGGATGTAGGTTGCTCTTTTGAAGGTGTCCGTCACATTTCGCAGGATCTCCGTGGAAAAGAGAAGGTCGCCACTGTAGTAGCTCCTTCTCTGCAAGAGCTCCAGGAGACTCCGTACGATCTGAGACATGCCCTCCCCAGCCAGGGTCCTCTGACCCTTCGCGAGATGCTCTCGTAACTAAAATGCATTAAAAAAAGGAGATTTTTAGAAGTGTTTTATCCTGTCTCATGATTACAGGTAAACCCTTTGCTGTTGCACATGGTGTTACTCAAACTACGTAGCAGAAAAACAGAAATAGCACACCCGAGATTGTGTTTTTGACAAAGAAATCACAGGAATGTTTTGGATATGAGCCGACGGGGATATTTCAAGACGGGAGTATATATGTACATGGTTGGATTTTTGTCTTTTTTTTGTGTATGTGTGTGTGTGTTTGCTTGTGCTTAAAATAGGCAAGCAAATCGAAGCCTTGCAGCACTTTCAGACAGAAACTGGATCTCATCACTTCAGAGAAAGAGATACAAAAAGATAGTCTGTGCGTGTGAGGCAAAGAGAAAGAGAGTGAGGGAGGAAGAGAAAGAAGCTGGGGGAACAGAACATCACAGCAATCACAGAAAATTAATTACTGACTCCTGGTATTAATGAAAGGTTGGAACAGAAGCTAACAGTGCAATCAGCTCTGTCATGCACAATCCCTGACCCCCATCTCCTTCCGCCATCATCGAGGAGATGGAAAAGGTTGAAGTTCACGGAGCAGGAAAACAGTTTCACTGATGAACACATTCATTAGCTCTCTTCATTAATTGATAAGTGTGAGCACAAAGCTCTGGAAAAGCTAATTAGAGATAGCAGCGAGTCTTGGGTAAAAACACTCTGCAATTTTGAGAAAACCTTTTTTTAGGGTAGTTAAAGAGAGGTACATTAGAGATAAAAACAAAAACAAAAGAGAAGAACAGATAGAGAAGAACTTGAAAAACATGTTTCACTAAGCAGAAGAAGCAACTCGAGTGCATCTGGAAAGTATTCACAGCGCTTCACTTGTTCCACATTTTGTCATATTACAGCATTATTGCATTAAATTCATTTTGTCCCTTAAAATTCTACACACAATACCCCATAATGCCAAAGTGAAAAAAGGTTTGCTTGAAATTCTTGCAAATTTATTAGAAATAACAAACTAAAATATAACATAAGTATTCGTACCCTTTTCCCAATACTTAATAATTACAGCTTTAAGTCTTTTAGAGTATGGTGCTACAAGCCTGGCACACCATTCATTGCAGAACCTCTCAAGTTCCATCAGGTTGGATGGGGAGAATCGGCACACATCTTCAGAGATGTTCAGTTGGGTTCAAGTCCAGGCTTTGGCTGTTATCTTAGCTGTGTGCTGTCCTGTTGGAACTTGAACCTTCGTTCAAATCTGAGGTCCAGAGTGCTCCCCATCCCCACAGCATGCCACCACCACCATGCTTCACTGTAGGGATGTTATTGACGTGGTGATGAGCAGTGCCTGGTTTTCTCCAGATGTGACACTTTCAATCTTTGTTTATCAGACCAGAGCATGCACTGACATGCACTGTACAACTATGGGACGTTATACAGACACGTGTGGGCCTTTTCAAATCATGTCCAATCAACTGAATTTACCACAGATGGACTCCAGTCAAGTTGCAGAAACATTTAACAGACGATCAGTGGAAACAGGATACTCAGTTTCGAGTGTAAGGAAAAGTCTGTGAATACTTCTGAACTTTTGCTACTTTTGTTTTAGTGAATTTCCAAAAAAATTCAAGCAGAATTTTTTCACTTTGTCATTATGGGGAATTGTGCAGAATTTTGAAGTGAAAAAATGAATGTAATCCAGTCTGGAATAAGGCTGTAACATGACAAAGTGCTTTGAATACTTTCCGGATGCACTGTAACTGGCTTAAATTGGTACATCTTTTTAGCTTTTTTTTTCTCTTGTCCATCATAATTATTTTTTTATCAATTGTTTGTTTTATTGTAATCATTTGACATTACTTACAGATAAATGTAAATATCTATATTCAAGTGAGACGCATCTGGCGAAGCTCGGAGGACCCCAGAAAGCAACTCCATTATTGTCCAGCATACAACGACGACTAGCAGATCCTAGAAAGAGTTGAGAGAGACGCACGTAGTTAATACAGAATGCAACAAACACCAAACATTATCTACACCACACTCTGAATATGGTATGCTTTTTCAAACTTCCAAAAACCAATATGGCCACAAAACACATAAATATGTTATTTGTATTCTGACGCCGAGAAGTAGGCCAATTCATCACACGGACAGGAGTAATACAGAGGGCGTCTGCTCAATGTATTTTAATAGCTATACGGAAATATCAGAATGCATAATTTTGCTACTAATGAAAAAGCTAAAACCCAAGGTCACCTCTATTCATGTGCTGAAGTGAAATATTATGCAGGATTGTAAAAACTACAAAATATTTTGTTTGTAGCAGTATTTGGCAATTTACACCTTCTGGTGATTTTAGGCTGGCAGGCACAAGGCAAACTAGTGAAAGCTGCCAAAATACCTTTTGAAAAATAAATATAAACAAGTCCTTTACGCCCTCTTTTTTTGTCATTGCCATGGTAACTGAGATAAGTTAAAGAATGTTAATTTGATCTTAAATATGACTATTATATTTAATTAAGGCTCAGCATTAGCGGACTAACTCGTTCAGACATGTTTTGCCATCCCTAAAAAGATGTGGAAAAATGTCTTTATGCAGCAGACCTCTCGAACCACACCTGCACTCGACTTGCACGTGTCAAAGTTTATACTCCTCTTTGGCAACAATCGGGCAACTCTCAGTTTAGACTGAAATAACAGTGATATGGTTTGACTGCATTCAAATGAGACATGAGTGCTGTATAAATTAAAGGAACTAAAAATGTTACGACTGCCTCTTTCTATCAAAACTCAAAAGAGCAATGGCATTTATTATTGCTGAGGCATAAGTACACCCACTAGAGCAAATTTATTTCAAACATAGGGATGCAAGCAGAGCAATTTATTCTGATTAGCCTATAATCTTGTCTATTTTACCATATTTTTCATATGATTGTCATTCTGTTGCAGTGAATTTGCCAGACACTTGACACCTGACAGTCAACTGCTCCTTTGTCTGCACTAAAGGCCTGTTGAAGTTAAAAGCTCACTGGTTTGCAACTGAATAACTAACCAAACAAATCACAAGAGCACAACTTGTTCCTCTCTTGGGCTTTTGTTGGACATATTCAGCTACATACACATTGTTACGTTCATGTCATCTAATGTTAATAATCTTCCAAACTACTATGCTGTCTATCAGCTGGAGTTTATGGGATCGGCGTCAACTGCAGCGGATTTTTAGGAATATAGCCAACTTTCATTTATTTATGTGAACTAGTCCTTTAAATAGTCCAGCTGTCCCACTTAGTATTTAATAATGAAAAAAGATCCAACTTTTTAGTTATACTATAGTACATATTACTCCTTTCAAACGTCCTCTTTTCTCTTATATTGAATAAGAAAGGCAGTGGCTTGCAAAAGTATTCGGCCCCCTTGAACTTTTCCACATTTTGTCACATTACAGCCACAAACATGAATCAGTTTTATTGGAATTCCACGTGACAGACCAATACAAAGTGGTGTACACGTGAGAAGTGGAACAAAAATCATACATGATTCCAAACATTTTTTACAAATAAATAACTGCAAAGTGGGGGTGTGCGTAATTATTCAGCCCTCTGAGTCAATACTTTGTAGAACCACCTTTTGCTGCAATTACAGCTGCCAGTCTTTTAGGGAATGTCTCTACCAGCTTTGCACATCTAGAGACTGAAATCTTTGCCCATTCTTCTTTGCAAAACAGCTCCAGCTCAGTCAGATTAGATGGACGGCGTCTGTGAACAGCAGTTTTCAGATCTTGCCACAGATTCCCGATTGGATTTAGATCTGGACTTTGACTGGGCCGTTCTAACACATGGATATGTTTGGTTTTAAACCACTCCATTGTTGCCCTGGCTTTATGTTTAGGGTTGTCGTCCTGCTGGAAGGTGAACCTCCGCCCCAGTCTCAAGTCTTCTGCAGACTCCAAGGGGTTTTCTTCCAAGATTGCCCTGTATTTGGCTCCATCCATCTTCCCATCAACTCTGACCAGCTTCCCTGTCCCTGCTGAAGAGAAGCTCCCCCAGAGCATGATGCTGCCACCACCATATTTGACAGTGGGGATGGTGTGTTCAGAGTGATGTGCAGTGTTAGTTTCCCGCCACACATAGCGTTTTGCATTTTGGCAAAAAAGTTCCATTTTGGTCTCATCTGACCAGAGCACCTTCTTCCACATGTTTGCTGCATTCCCCACATGGCTTGTGGCAAACTGCAAACGGGACTTATGGTTTTCTTTTAACAATGGCTTTCTTCTTGCCACTCTTCCATAAAGGCCAACTTTGTGCAGTGCACGACTAATAGTTGCCCTATGGACAGATTCCCCCACCTGAGCTGTCGATCTCTGCAGCTCATCCAGAGTCACCATGGGCCTCTTGGCTGCATTTCTGATCAGCGCTCTCCTTGTTCGGCCTGTGAGTTTAGGTGGACGGCCTTGTCTTGGTAGGTTTACAGTTGTGCCATACCCCTTTCATTTCTGAATGATGGCTTAAACAGTGCTCCGTGGGACGTTCAAGGCTTGGGAAATCTTTTTTTGGCCTAAGGCTGCTTTAAATTTCTGAATAACTTTATCCCTGACCTGTCTGGTGTGTTCTTTGGACTTCATGGTGTTGTTGCTCCCAATATTCACTTAGACAACCTCTGAGGCCGTCACAGAGCAGCTGTATTTGTACTGACATTAGATTACACACAGGTGCACTCTATTTAGTCATTAGCACTCATCAGGCAATATCTGTGGGCAACTGACTGCACTCAGACCAAAGGGGGCTGAATAATTACGCACACCCCCACTTTGCAGTTATTTATTTGTAAAAAATGTTTGGAATCATGTATGATTTTTGTTCCACTTCTCACGTGTACACCACTTTGTATTGGTCTTTCATGTGGAATTCCAATAAAATTGATTCATGTTTGTGGCTGTAATGTGACAAAATGTGGAAAAGTTCAAGGGGGCTGAATACTTTTGCAAGCCACTGTAAAATCACTCAGCTTTAAGTCTGCCTTAACCATGTTAAAGTCTGTATTTACATAATTTCCTCAAGGATTAATATAATATTCTGATTCACATGATTCACAGACACCTGTATGCATGAAGTGATTTATGATGTTTCATTAGTGTACATATATACGGCTTGTACTTTATGTATTTAGTGCTCTGTTGATGGATAAGATTGGTACACTGTTTCAAGTGCTTTGACATGTCAGCGTGGCTAGAAAAACATCGAATGAACATGCGTACAAAACATCACATCACACTATAGAAACTTCTGAGATGGTACAATCTTTGGTCTTTGGTCCAGCTGGTTCAATACCTCTGTTTAGAATCACTCCAAGTACAAACCACTTTAGGTCTGCCTCATTTCATTAGGTTTTGCATTGTTTAATGCTGCTTTAAGCCTACACTGACCTCAATTTAACTGAAAAGCACCTCCTTCAAAGAACTGCAAAGTTTGCAGATAATTGTTTCTAGAACATGAATTCTGACAAATCGTTTAACCCAGAGAGAGCTGAACCCTAGAGTTTCATCAGCAGTGAGCTGGTACAAAGATCCTTTCTTTCTGCTCATCTTGCTGTGGCTCAACCAGCTGGGCAACACATCACAGCTTGACCAGCAACAACCGCTAAATCTGTGTGTGCTCATTTGTGCAGTAACTCTGAAGAACCAGAAGAAAGCTTGCTTCTGTAACACCTGCAAAGCTGTGACACATCTCCAGAGCAGCTTGATGAAAAATCTGGAACATCAATATAAGCAAAGAAGCAGCTGATCAGAAAAGAAAAACGAGGAACACAGGAGATTCATCACTCGTCATCGACATTCTCCTTATCAAAAACATGACAGATAACGCAGGACAATTCACTTCCTCCAGTTGTGGATGGAGGATTGGTTTCCCCCTGAGCACGTCAAGGAGCAGATGTTTGAGCTGTATGAATCCTGGACTAGAAAGACGTCAGATGTCTTCCAGAAAGCTTTACCAATAACGAGAGGACCAGATCCAGGATTATCAGCGGTGTATCTCAGAGCCTCATCCATCCATTTGGGATGTTGAATGTTCTTTATTTCTGACTTCTAGGAGAAAAACGTAAATGCTGCTCTGACCCCTGAAAAGAGTCTGGATATCTGGTATGCCATTGGAGATCAGAGACTTGTCTCCAATAAAGAAGACCTTAAAGCTGAAATTCAAAGCCTTAAACTGACTCAGTATTAGCCTCTCCATCCTGTGAAGCCAGATCTGATCGCAGGCAGAACTCAGGCTGACATCTGGTTGAGGAGAACTGTCCTGATGACGTTCAAGGCGCTTTGGTTGACTGTAGCCACAATTATTTTGTAAATGAGCCCTTTTTTATTAGTCTAATAATGGTTTTGTGACAACTCATCTGTATTTATTTGTAAAAAGATCAAATATGACTTACCAATCCCCTTACTTTGCATCATCATGCACACAACTGCCTCACAAACAGGTCTGTGTAAACCTGGTCAATCAAGAGAATGAGCTATTTTGACTTATAGACCTGTGGTGAATTTGGAACAAGCCAGATGTTAAGACTAAAAATACAAGTTAACCTTTTTTTTTCTTTTTTTTTTTAAATCACAAAAAGCTGACTTTGAAGTTTCTCCTTATTTTTCCATGACATTTCTCCAGGCAGTGAGCAACCTTGAGAAAGAAGGTACAAGTATATGTCTCATAGCACATGCATAGAGAGTTGCAAGCCCTGTGTTACAGTATAAGCTTTAGCAGATATTGCTTTGACTGTAGCTCTGCCTTTCCTAATCAGGAAGTGCTACTGTATGTACATGAGGCTCACAAACTTCCAAAGTTAATTATCACAGAGATTTTTTTTCCATTAAGTAGCCAGTCTCTGTTCTTCTGCTGCAACTTTACCATTGCTAAAAACAACATGCCCACATGTTCGTGATGCTAACAAACCTCTGTTGCTCCTACTGGAGATTTCTTTAAGCTTCTCGCTTGGACATTTTTGTAACAGTTCTGGAGTTGTGTAAAGAAACTTGTGATTGCAATATGCTTTTTTTTTTTCCCCTTGTCACGATGCTGCTTGGCAGCCTGTTGCACAGCTCCTAAATCTTAACCAGCTCGTATTACTGCCTGGACTGAGCCATGTAATCCTGGTGAAGCTACAGAGGAAATGACAGTGGTTTCATTGGTGATTGGGCAATAATGAGGACAACCTAGACGATCTGATTTGAGCCCTTGACGTGCCACACTCAAACTTCCCACACCACAGCGTGACCGTACCTCACTTCAGGACTTTTTAGGTGGACAGGAATGTTATTCTGAGCTGAGATGAAACGTGGGGGCATTGCACCAGTTATGATTGAAATGTGGTGTAATCCCACACATGTTGGTGCAAGGAGGTGTTTCTGAATTGCTTTTTCTTGGATTATATCCACATTGTCACTGTTCTGTTTTAATCTGGTTTAAAGCAACACATTGTCTGGATTCCTCCATCACCTGATGAAGAGGTGCTCTGCTGCCACAAGGACAGACACGTGAAATCTTTACCACCTCATCTCTATACAACATTTATCTTAACCTGTTTGTTTTATAATATTTGGATTTCATTTTACTGAATAACTTTTTTCACTGTTTTGGTTGCTGTGACATAATTTCACAAAATTTCTTCTTCTTTGAGCTGAGTGCATTATTAGCTAAAAGCATGCAATGTGACTGACCAGTAGCATTCGTTGGACATTTGTTGTAGACAGTTTCTCCAGCTGAGGCTCTCTTCCATGACATCGAGAGGAGATGCTCGTCTTTGCATATCTCATGAGGCGCTATAGAAGAAAGTGAGAAACACATAGAAAAAAAGCGAAATGAAGTCAAGCCTAGTAGGAGAACAGAAAAAAAAAACCAAAAACACGCGCACAAACATGCACTCGCACGCACACACACGCCGAACCAGAAGAAATAAAAAAAAAGGGAGACAGACAGAAGCAAAGCACAAAAAAAAAAACACGATTCAAATCAATGTTCTCCTGCAGCAGCTCCCAATCTTATTCCCTTGTACATTCTCAGAGCTCTCTGTCGGTGTCATTGCCTCAGTACAGTATCTCATTCCCTCTTCATCTTACCCCCTCTTTTTATTCATCTGTTTTCCACCCCTCCCTCTCTTTCATAACCATGATGAAAAAACAGGCAGGGGGAGGGGGAGCTGGGTGCTCTGAAGATATTCCGAGGGGGCACACTAGGGTTGGCAGAGGCAGATGCAGAGAGATGAAGAGGGACGGAGAGCGAAGAGCGAAGAAGGAGAAAATGTGTGATGTTCCCCCTGCAATGCCAACAGACAAGATCCTCGTCTAGTGTAAAAAAGCTTTAGAGCTACTAAAAACAAAGAGGTCATGATGGAGGCTCCACTCAAAAGTTCATCATTTGCAACTCGTCAAGTCTCAGTGCTAACACAAGTGACACGCACTGAAAATATACTTGCATACATACATATATATATATATATATATATATATATATATATATACCAACACACACGCACAGCTTCAGTCAGGAGTCGTACTTATTAAAAACCACAGTGTTTCCTGCAATGGCTGACACTGACAAATAGCACCAAGCGGACCGTTGAACATCCTGCCCTCCACCGGGGAGAGAAACATAGAAGGAAATAAAGTAAGTGAGAGACAACGAGTAAGGGAGATTAGTGCTTTGAAAAAAATGTTAAACAGGAGAGATATAAGGAGAAAGCAAATAACTCACAGATAAACAGAGGATAAAAAGAAGGCAATACAAGGGAAAAATGCAAAATCAATGAAGAGGTGAAGACGGAGGGGTATGTGAACTGACATGAAGACAGGCAAAGGACAGAAAAGGATGTGAAGAGCTCTAAAAGTGCGAAGGTAGCTTTTGGGTATGCTGTTAATCTCTTGGAATTGCTTCCATTCTGCTCGATAGGTAGTGTGCAAGTGCAATTTTGGCACACACACGCAGTCTTTTAAACTTCAAAAATACCACGAAATCATCGTAAAAACAAAGGAAAAATGTGAAATACAAAAACTAGGGCATGAAAAGGTTATACAGATTATACTGAAGCCCTCTGTCTGTAACGCACACTCAAGCTACTGACCAGGGCACTTTTTCTCATTACACGACCGGACCTCCTCTCCTAAGCCATCACAGGGGTAGCCTTGCAATCCAGTGCCCTCGCACATCCTGATGCGCCGCTGCCATCCAGAGTCACACGTCTTGCTGCAGAGACTCCAGTGGTTCCAGCTGCCCCAGTTACCTCCACCTAGCGCAAGAGGAAGAGCACCACCAGTGAAGATGGAAGTACCGGAATGCATTGCAAAAGAAAAAAAAAAGAAAAAGAAATGACAGTTATGAATGAAGTAGTAAATTTAACTTACAAGTCTAAAGCTTTTTTATTAGTGTGAGAAATTAAGTCAATACAAGCCCATTCTCGGGCCCAGGCTCATTAAACACCCTAGTATTTTTGTTCTCTGGGGCCCCTGTCGAAACAGACTCATAAGCCAAATTAGGTCCCAACCCAATAATTACTCATGTGTGGAATATGAATCAGAAAAACAACCATGTGGATGCCTTTAGATAATGCATGTTCTGTGTATGCATAATGCCATCTGAGAGCATGTGACTGTGAATACTAATTTGTGTTACCGGAGCACGAAGGGTTGGTGCATTCTCTGCTCTCCTGATGGGGGCCTTTGCATTCAGCCCAGCCGTGCACCGATGGGCTACAGCGCCTCTGCCTCTGCTCGGTCCCTGTGTCACAAGTCACGCTGCATTTCGACCAAGGCCCCCAGTCTGACCACTGGCCCTCCACTGGAGCGGGAGACAGATCCGAGAAGATAAAGAGACACGGGAGCATGCACGAGGGTGAAGGGATGAAGATTTTTAAAGAGGGATCAGAAGTGAAAAAAAAAAAGAGATGGAAAAAAAGACAATGATTGTCAGTGAAAAGGAAGGTACAGAGGAAGAGAGGGAGGAAAAAGACAAGGCAGATAAAGTGAGCACGCTGAATAGAATATACAATGAGTTAGGATGAACAGCAAATAAATTACAGAAGCTATTTGGCTTCCCATAAATAGCAACAAACAAACACAGTGCACCTCCCATTTTAATGGACATTTTAAATATTTCAATCTGTTACAAAAAAACCAAAAAAAAGCTGAATGGAATTTCTTCCACTCTTTGTTTTAAAAGAGTTCACACAAAGTGCATTTGGTTGGATTTTCACACACAGTATTATTAAAAAGAGAATCCTATTGACTGGTGTTTGTGCGGAAACAGATAGAAATAATACTAATTCAAACACAATGAAGTACTGCCTGTCGGACAGCTTAACCGAAGCCTGACGACACGCATCGATGTAATCAAACCCCCTGCTGTCCATTCTAATGGGTGCTAGAAAAGGAAGTGTTGCTTGGGAGTAATTGAGTTGTCAGATGAAATATTCAAATACAATAAAATGACATTAACCAAATCCCAAACAAGCAGATAAGATTTTTTTGGCACGACATCATCTTCAAAGAGAGCTATAGATTCAACTTTGAAGATCTGTGTTGCAGAAAAAAATAAATAAATAAAACACTTTTTTGATTAGAAATCTTTGTAATAAAACGAAAAAGAACTGACAGAGGACCCAATTACTAGCCTGTAGCCATGTTCCTTTATGTTTCTGAACGCAGAGACACTTGTCAAAGCGCTACAATTTCAGAAACTTCAATCACAAAAGCAACTGCCAAAATCTTCTCTGACAATATGCTAGTTTTTAGCTGTTTAACAAAAGGTTGTGTTCAACTGTATTATTACTGCAGTTAAATTGTCCTAAACAGATAATATCTGGGCATTTGTTTTACCTGCAGCAGCAGCAGCATGAAAGAGCCAATTTAACTAGGTTTTTATTGTTACACTGTCACATTAATTCTGTTTGGTTTACGCCGCATTTAATTGCACGGAATAGTCAATTGCTATTTTCTAAACAAATGCTTTACCACTTCTTTCACGCAAGCACACACAATCCTGAAAAATAATAATTGAAATGGAGTAATAAATCAATGCCTCCTTTTGTTGGCGTCAGTGTCACTTATGTAAAACAATAATGTGTTGCCTCCAGCTGGAATTATTGAAGGACCTGAGCTGTGCTTTTGCACAAATTTGAATTCTTAATGATGTGTAATGATTTAACTGCTGCCTGCTAAAACTGTCACATTAATTGGTTTTTGAGACAATTTTGGACACTAAAATAAACCGTTAAGGTTAAACTGACATTATCAGCTAAGAAATTAGATAAGGAGTGCGCACTATCAAACAAGGCGGTATCCAGGAGACAGACAGTCGCATTAGCATTCATACTCAGGTGGCGTTTCTGGCCACATAACTAAATCTAATATTTTCTTTTAGCTCTGTTTCACTCCCTACAGATTACATAAGGATACAGAATAAAACACGGTCCCAAGCAACCACATTTAGCCTTGGGAAAGTACACTGCATAGCTTTTTCAGAGCTCTTCTGACTAAACTGCACTCTAGTACCAATGCTTATTAGTATGTAGAAAATGATCTAAACAGAAAATGAAAAAGTAGCTTTAAAATATATCATATTTAATGACAGATTTAGTCAGCTCTAGTAAAACATTATACGTTATAGTTCAAGAGTTTGTTTGGTGAGCATTAGTTAACAGGGGCCAATAAACGATTCAAGAATAAGAAGGCTCCGAACTCAAGACGGTTAAACCAGTTTTTGTTTAAGAGAAAACTTAACAAAGACCTTTTTAAAATTCTATCTTTAGTCACTTTTTTACTAGTAGTGTGTCACAGTAGCATAAAATCTATAAAAAATTCCAAAGATAACATTTTTGCACCAGCAGGGCGATTCAGTCATTATATGAAAACATACACATCTCGGTATGGTGTAAGGAGCTTGGAAAGAAATGGAACACTTGGAACACCTTACGCTCTGCTTCAGCGTAAACTCCACTTTTTATAATTATTTGAACATTACAAGCTCTTGAGACTATGATGACTGGGATAATTGAGAACCTTAACAGACATATCTCGGTATGGTGCACAGCGTGTCCTTAAAAAAATGAGGTAACTAAACAAGTGGAGGATGAAATAAGAAGTGTCAAGAAGCTTTCAATGAGATACACTGAATTTCAGCAGAACTGGACTAAAAATCAGTGGTCTTATAGAATGAAGTTCCGTTTAGTTCATTGTCAATAAACTTAGGACGAGGGGAGAAATGGGAGCACTGATTATCTATAACCATGTTTAAAACACAGTGGCAACTCTGTCATGGTTTTTGGCTGCATTACAGTCAGTAATTTTGGGGGTCTTGTAAAAACAAAAAGCTGATTGAATTAGGAAAGCAGAAAAGTATGGTCAGATTTTGAACCACCATCAACTATTCCTGGATGCTACCTAAAGAAATTACAAGAACGCTTGGCTAACAGAGTTCAGACTCTACTGAATAATAAAGGTGGCCATGCAAAATACTGACTTTCAAGCTCATTATAATTTTATAAACTCTGTTTGTTCCATGTATTTTTGTACATGCTTCAATAAATTGCTCCACATATTTCTCATTCTCCTAACAAAATATAAAGAAATGTCTCACTGTATAAAGCTTCTATAATATCTGATAGGCAGAAAACGTATTTTTAACTACTGCAACGGACAAGTAGATATATCTATCTGTTGTGTATGGACTTCTTCTGTCTCTGTATTTACACGAATTACAATTCGAAGTGAGAACTCTTTGCTCGAAATGATATATTGAGTCACACATTCTACACTCCGGGGCATTAAGCAGCAGAGAAAGTGAAGTACAGTGCTGTAAATGTATTTGTCTGGCTATCCCAAGTGAGAAGGCATTGCCAGCTCTCCTTGGTAAAGTGGTCAATCACGCCAGGCGACACTTGTACTGTGTTCCAACGGGCGTGGGTCTGCATTGTGTCGTGGAGATGACATAAAGGAAATAAAGTGTGACCTAGAAAAGCATTGCAAATGTGATCTTTTTAGAAGTTGCTCTGATTAATGGAAGTGTTACCTTTCTAAAACAACATTTGAAAAAAGAAAATGACACAAACACCAACACATTTTCAGACCGTCCATGTCTTTCTGTCGAAGTGTTACTTCTTTGTAAGGATTGCTATCGTATATATATCTCAGCATTGTGTTAACACACAAAGCACAATCAGCTTATCGGCACTGATACTAAAAAAGCTGGATGGCAGCTCTCTGTTAAGAGGGAGCTCTTGCCAAAGAGAGAAACTATCAATTTGCCTGTAATTAAGACATAGCAATTAATCCCAGCATATGTTTGGCTATGAACTGAACTGTTAACGTTGTGAAAAAGAAAAGGAGGTGTCAAAGAACTTAAAGGCAATTTCCAGCCAGCTCTCTGCCTACACAGGTTTTTTTTTAGTACTTGATGTTTGCTCAAAAAGGTCTGATATGACCAAATGAATTACTTCCATGAAAATGTCTGCTGACTTTAATAATACCCCGTTGATTGTCTTCATATGATGCAACAGCTGCCACATTTACATTTGCAGTTCTGCCCACATATGTATGCACTTGTTTGATATGTAAGCTTAGCTTAGCATGTGACTGCCTAAGTGACAACCCACTGTGAAGAGGTAAGAAATTGGTTTAATATACTGTAGCATAAACACAACAGGACATGCAACAGCACATAGCGTGAGGATTAAGTATATGGTTTGCAGTGAGATCAAATTATCGAGGGAAACACACAACTATGCACCCACATGTGCACAGACATGCATGCACGCGCGCACACACACACACACACACACACACACACACACACACACACACACACACACACACACACACAATCCATCAAAGCTCTATTCTGTATGCATGGTTGTTTGTGCCAAAAGGCCTATGCTGGTATTCATGATTTCAAAGGACCATTGACTTTGAACTCCCAAAAGCAGGCTGAATCTGTTGTGATAGATTCTCACATTCACATACACAAAGATTTCCTTAAGGCCTCGCAGGAAGACACCCTTTCTCCCAAACCCTCTCTTTCCATCACTGTTCCCAAAACAGCTTGGCAAAACATCCTGGAGGCCATACTTTAGATTACGATGTCTCCCTGTTCCTTCTTTTTAACTTTGCAGCCTCTTTGTCTGGCAAGGGGGACAGTTTGTTTTATTTAAATATTAACCTTGCAAAACCTCTGCTTTTGAAAATAAAGAGGGAAAAAAACAAGTAAATATCCAAAAATATTGTTTAGGATGCAGGAAAAGGTTCTGGCTCCAGCATCACTCACATAAATGTAAAGGCATATGGATTCAAAGTCCAGGGGAAAGTGATATAGAATTCTTTGCCTTAGCAGTCTTAAATAAAAAGCACTTACACTGTGATAATTGGTCAGGCTGTGAGTGATTACACACTAAGCAAACACACTCTCACTTGGACTGAAATTAATTCAGGAAGAAAAAGGTTATTATTCAGAAAGCTGACAGCATTTTTGTTATAAACTGTCTTATGTTTTAATGTCTGTGTATCCATTAATTCCTTTACTCCAACACAGAATCCATTTAAAGTCTGAAACAAAAAGCCAGAGCAAATTTAATCGCTGAAATTAATATTCCTTTTTAATGTCGGTGTTTCCAAAGTGTTTTTTCCCCTAAAGGGGACACTTGGAATAGAAAATTAAAACTGCACAGAGACAATATGCATAACCAAAGTTTACCTACAGCCTATTTTTACATATTTACGTCTCAGTTGACAAAGGTACTGGCAAAGGTACAGCCTGTAGTGTGACAAGCTACAGAAATTATTGCTCCTATCTTGTCCCACCGTTTTTTTCAGAGTGTGCTGCAATAGGGCTTCAGTTGCTGGAGAATCCAGCTTCACTCCACTGGCAACCCGATGAAGATGTTTCTACTGGACAGTCTGTGCCAGATTATCCTTAACAGCCCTATTAGCTGGGGCCGAAATGCTGTCTTAACTGTTTTTGACAAAGTGTAGTTTTAATAGATAGTTTTAGAGACAATTATAGAAGAGTTACACGGTCGGGTTGTTCGACAATCTAAACTTAGTCAGCCGTGGAAGAAGCACACCGGTCCAACACAGACTTCTAGTCTACGGTTCTATAAGTGAAAGTTTGAAAGGAAATGTGGACTTAATTCCCATGGATAACCACAGGCGTAAACAGAACTGAAATCTCTACTGAGGGGAAACTGTGAAAATGTATTTTAGCAATGTGCAAATCATTCAGTATGTTAATTGACAATCAAATTAATCCACCAAAATATCAATCCAACCGCCCCCAGTCGACTTTAATACAACTGTACATTCAAAACAAAACTGAATACAATTCACTTTGTGACAGCATTACACGTAAATTCAATTACAAACAGAATTTCTATGAAAAAGTGTTGGTTAAAGCAAGACTAATACTCACAGTCACTGTGATGCTCAGAGGAGCAAAACATGATGGTCAGCACGCTAGCATGCAAACAAAGACATTTTGAGACCTTTTAAATTGTTTACCATGTTAGGCCTCATTTGCACAAGCCTAGAGACCCACTGGCACTGCCCTCCTAGTAATGTCTAGTTCTAGGAAAAATCCCCAACTAGCTGACAAGTGATTGCTGGTGGTTGCTAGCTGTTGGCACGTGACAGCTTGTTACAAGTAAGAGTACTGCATCATAAACCTCTTTGTGATGCTTTGTTAACTTGCAGATTGCAGCAGTCACCCATAGTTTTCAGACAAGTTGGCATGTTTGATAGAAACTACTAGCAATTGCATCAACCTGTTGGCAACCAAAGCAACCACCAAGGAAGCATTTGGTGCAGCAACCTAAAGCAACCACTTGACAACTGGTCATGAAATATTCACTGATGGTTGCCAAATGGTTACATACTAATCTCTAGACCTGTGGGACAGGGGCGTTAGTTTAGCAACTGATGCTGAGAGAAGCGTATTAACTTTCAGAACTTCATCACAAAGTACTCTCTGCCTTCTGAAAAACTGTGAGTTGTGTAAATGCGGGTGACATAAATTTCTGCACCAAATTTCAGAATATTCCATTTAAGATTTGTAAAGATGTTTTATTCAAGACCACAACTGTCACTCGAGGCTTGGTGGAATTCCAGAGAAAAAAAACCAATCACCAAAGTCAAGGACACAAAATGCCAGAAAGATCCATTCAGTATTTTGAGTAGCTGAGATACTTTACTTTGAATCAAAGTGGTCAACTAATACAAACACATTGCCTCCACAAATCCACAGTGCTATCACAGTTGAACAGTTTGTTCCCATTCAGAAGCTTTGATGATGTCAAAGCAGACTTTGGCTTGATTTAATCGAAGAGAGACATTTGGTCAGTTAGACGAACATGAACTATGCAGGCAAGTGGATGGAAATTCAGGAGCTATGACAGTGATGTGGTAATGTTCTACTTTTGCAACTTTGAAGAGGCAAAAAATGTCAAGTTTAATACAGCAAGAGAGAGAGAGAGTCTTGGTGTATCATGTTAATGGGGATGGTACTAACCAGGACACACTGCTATGTTGCAGAGTTTGGTCTGAACCTCAGGCCGTCCACAAGCTACAGCCCCGCTGCCGTCCATGCACTTCCTGGTTCGTGTCCTGGAGCCCCGCCCACAGGTCACAGAGCACAGACTCCATGACGACCATTCCTCCCACAGCCCATGCACTGCGAACACCCACAAACATGACGCACAAAAAGACACGACATGGGGATGAGGGTTGAGAGAGGAAAGGAAGGAGAAGGAGTGGAGCATCCCATTGCAGGCAGGAGGGTTTGAGAATGAGAAAAACGAGAGATTAAATGATGAGCACATTCCTTTAAAAAAAGAAGAAGAAAAAACACAAAGGAGGTGACCTTATGACCTCCAGGAAACCCACCCAATTACAAAGGAAAAGACAGACTGAGTATGAAACAGCACTTACATGTTACTAATATGAACAAATGAAAGTTAGGAATGGACACTGGTATTTGAAGTCATGCAGCTCGAATCAAGACAAGGAAATAAATGGTGTATGCTTTTTCCTAAAGGTTTAGTCACCCAAGCATTAAAAAGCTTTTCTTTTATCCCCATTTTTCCTTCCTCATGTTTTCTCTTTATTGCACTCCATCGCGCGTTTTAACAAAATAAATAAAGACAGAATAAAGAAACAGTGAAGTTGGACCAAAGTCCTAGAACCTGCCATGTCAGAGAAAAGACACACACTTTCACACATACACATTCACAAAATTTAATTACTAAAACCATTTCGAGATGTCTCACCTAAAACTAGAGGGAATAATAATGGAATGATGGATATTATGGGGAAAAAAAAGAATACACAAAAAGTGAAGGCTCCAAAGAAGGAAAAGATCAATTTCAGGCCTGATTAAAAGGAAGAGAATAAGAACAGGTGAACATGAAAAACGTGGGAGATGATAAGAAAAATTGAAAGAACACGCAAAGACGATTGGAGACTCACAAAGTTTGGGTGAATACGAAGTAGGAAATGAGTCCAAGAAAATGGGGTTATTTTGAAATGTTCAGTGAGAGGAGATTAAACTGTGTTGAAAGAGCCAGAAGAAAGAGAGAGGAACCGATGCTGGAGAGAGATGGAAAGCAGGAGATGAGGAGGGGAGGGACAGAGAAGGGAGGACGAGAAAGTTGGAGACAGCAGGATGAAGATTGCTGGTCCTGTGTTGAGCAAAGCTAAATAAATCATGCCGATAAATAATTAAGCCTCGTCTGTGAACGATGGCTTAGAGGAAGAGTAGAAGGCTGAGAGAGAGGGAGGGAGAAGATGGTGGTATTAAAAAGTATGAGAGATATGGAAAGCTGTTAATAGTTCTTAAATTTAGAAGAAAAAAACCATGGTGTTACTATGTCTTTAAGCTGCCCTATAAAATACATATACGATACATGAGCGGGAAAGAGCATTGGTAAGCATTTGTGCTTCTCTTGCTGCAAATTTAATGACATGTTCTTTTTAAAGTAAGCTCATTAGTGGTCCTTGTTGACAAGTTGCATGACTGGGTTCTGGTAAATATTACTTCTCTTGGATGTTGGAGCTTCGATGTAATGAATGATGTATGTGCACAGCTGACATTGAAAGTCTGCTTTGCAATTTATCTTTGAAAGTTTATTTATGCTCACCAAATATCAGAGTTTAAAGGGAGTACCCATGAGCAGGATTTGTGACATTACAAGTAGTTACAAGCACTACAAGCCAATCCTGGTCCAAGAGGCAACTTACACAAGTGTGATGAAGAAACTTGATGCCTGAAAATTACACACACAGTCATTCCGGTATTTTAGCTATGTAGCTATGAAACTCTTATCTAATGGGCTGGTATACAAATAAAAAACAAAACAAAAAAGCACAAACAGTTATTTGAACTGAGTACTTCTGTACAGCTTTAAAAACACCTGAGAATGATCTTCACACTCATCAGAGGCATTTAGTAAATTGTGAAGCTAAATACATCAAATAGTCTAATGTAAACATTAACCTAATGTCAATGTATTCAATTGTTAGCAGTAGGGATGTCCATGACTAGTCCACTAGACTTAATCATTGCTATTGTCACTAGTCGGTACCTAACATAGCAGTCATTTAATTTAATGTTTTAAATTTAAATTGATGCCCAATGTACGTAAATTATTATGCCCTAAATGTTATGTAGCCATCTGGCACCAGATGAAGCATCATTGCTGAGGAACCCCATAAATCTGCTAATCTCAGCCTGATCTTTGTTGTTGACACTATCATTTTTCTTTAAAGACGAAAGAACAAGACTGCAGATAAAAGCGGTGGAAATTAGCTTTCTCCGAGGGGTGGACGGGCTTTCCTTTAGCAATGAGGAGAGAAGTTCACTCATTCAAGAGGGGCTCAGAGTTGAGCTGCTGCTTTTCCACATCGAAGAGAGCCAGCTCAGGTGGGTGCCTCTTGGGTAAGGTGTTCTAAACTGGCATGTCCTACCGGGAGGAGGACACGGGGTAGACCTGCTGGAGAGATTACATCTAATTCCTCTGTGTTTCCCCCAAGTAGCCTGAGGAGGTGGCAAAAGGGACATCTGGGCTTCGTTGCCTAGGCTGCTACTCCCACGGCCCAAATTCGGATAAGCAGAATAAAATGGATAATTTATGGTTTTGTTATTTTAGATTTTAAGTCTCACTAAAGTGGTTGTGGTAAATTTTGGACCAGCAGTCATTCATTCATAATGCACAGCACAATGCACCGCACTTTCCAGTCACAGTTTATTAGTATATGAACTAATACATGAACATCTTTAACATGTTTCATTTCTGATGAGGCTTTGGTGAACCAACTGAAGGACCAGATGTATCTTTTAAGTCCTGTGTCAAAACTTTCCTTGATTTTTTTTTTCTTAACGACATAACTTTCATATACTGTTCATCTGATGCAAATACTATTTCTGTTTGATTGTTTTGTTTTTTGTTTGTTTGGGGCTACACTGCACACCATGGCAACCTATGTCAGATTTACAGGTATACAAATTATGCCTGTCACACTTTGTTACCCGCTACCTGTTGCAAATATTTATTCCAATTTCTTTATCTATGAAACAAGCAAAAGGCAACAAATTGCCTAAAGGTACAATTGTCATGTGCAATTGGGCTGTTGATGTGTAGACACAACACTGATTCATCCTTCGAGTTAGTAGATGCCTTTTTTGTGTTTAAGTTATCCATGGGTCAGTGTTAAGTTGCATAACAAACAACATTCATCTGAAAATGCTCAGGTACAAGTAATTCACCAAAAATGAATAAAAAACCAAGTAATGGCCAAAAAAATCTTTGAAAGACCTTCAGACATCCTACTGCTCAAGAGCCATTTGAAAACATTATTGGAAATTCTGGCTCCTTAGAAGCGAAATATAAAGAAATGATGAGTGGGTTTTGCACAGTATTTGGAACTGGATGTGTTTGGACTGAATATTATTGGGACTTCTGAGCCATTCCCAGTATTATTTATTTTCCTCTGAAATACATTTTCGATTTTTTGGAGTCGAAAGTGAATTTTGTGATTAATTTGCAATTTGTAGTCACTGATTTCAAAGGTAAAGTATGGCATGGGATCTATTTCTGTATCAATAATCATGCAACCCCTTACTATCAAAACATTGAATGGAATATATTTTGCTAATATGAGTAACATCTAACCAGCATTTAATATATTTTTAGACTGCAGAACATAATACAATGCTCTGTGCTGTTACTTGCTATCTTCATCTACAACAACATGGGATTGCTTGTTAAACATGATTTATTCATTAGAATTGGATCTCCAGCTGTCAAATTCAGTACAAGTGTATCTGAAGTCTGACCATGCAACACCAATCAACTGGCCCCTAAAAACAAGCTTCAATCAGCTTTGGGACAAAAATACAATAAAAGAAAAAAAGTAATTTGGAAATGAGGACAACAACAACAAAAAACCATGATGAAATATCCTCACAAACTGGCTGATGAAAGTATTAAACACCTGACCAATTATATTTTGAGGTATTTTGAATCATAAGCAAAGCAACACAGGCCAAATTGCTGAAATACATAACATCTTTTAGTTTAACTAAGGGCTTTAAAGGGGACCTTTTTGCTATGTTGCAGTCACAGAGGGAAGTGCAAAGGAACATATTTGCAGCAGCTGAAATAAAGCTGAAATAAAAGGTATGAAATAATACACTGATCTGAGATCAAACAACAGTGTGTCATGTCTGTTTGCCTCATAACATCTGGCAAAAAAAAATCATGAACTGCGTGAGCTCCATTTTGGGAGCTAAAAAAAAGACTGGAAATAAAGCAACAGACTTGCTCATGCTGCCCCACATTTCTGATGCAAATGCAAGCAAGCTTGCACATGCATGGTTATGCACAAGTACACAATCACACAAGAAACCATAATGAGCTTATGGGTAATAAAGATGCATGTTTTCTAAAGATGTCCTTAAACTCTTTCCAGTTTACACATACAGTGCTGTGTGCTGTATTGAGATATCAACTTTTAATTTTCCCATTTCTATTTTTGCAATGCATATGGTGTAATTAGACATATGCATCACATAATGTCCTTATGGATTACCATAATGTTAGAAGATTTTCTACATTATACATTATAACCAAATCTCTATAATACAATATAATCAAGTGAGCCTTATAGTCTAACCAAGTATGCCTTATATTTTGTGTGTTCATATATTTTCACATAACCAAGCCTATTGTTGAAGAATTACCTAATCAAGTTTATTGTTAAAGGAAAACTGATGCATTCCTTACCTAAGTGTCTGAAATGTTTGACAGCATGATATAATGATGCATTCTTTCCTATAGTGTCTGTGATGTCAGATAAAGCATGATATACTTCTGTATTTTTATCCCAGTGTGTGAAAGATCAGATAAGTTGATTTAATGTTTAACCTCTCGTCAACATCTGTTAAAAAGATGCCTTATAAATAAAGCAAGCGAGCCTGTGCTCGGTGTGTGTGTCTTCTCAGAGGCATTCACCCGTGCGCACGTTTTCTAATTACACTCTGAGTCGGTCTGCAGTTGTCTCATTTCTCTTACTTGTGTTTTGAACAAATGTCTACCCCTGACACATAATTACCAGCAATCTCATCTATTGTCAGAGGACCGCATGGATGCATTATTTAAACATATGTATGAATGTGCGCACATGTGTGAAGTTTGTGCTGTAAGCCTGATATGAGACCATGACTACACCCCGTTAAGTTTCTTGCTTGAATGATTACTGGAAGCAGTGTTGCTGCATTTGACAGCGCACTGACCCGGACATACTTTATTCACAATGCGCTGTTGTTCCACTTCATGTTTTAAATGTCAGTGAATCTATGGTAAATGAGCAATAGCTAAACAGAACACGAGTAGGGAGTACTACTTCACTTTGCATGCTTTGGGGCACGAAATCCTTATACTTCATTGCATATTCCACAAAAAGAAACAAAAAAGAAAATGTAATTTGTGATGCCAATTACCAACTAGTTTGCTTTGTCATGAGCAAGACCATTATTTAAAATTGATTATCTGTATCACCTTAATTTAGGGGTTTTACCCAAAATTAAGCCAAAAATAAAAAAAGTCCATTTTCACTCCATTTGCTTTCTGTCCGAGCTATTTTTCTTTGATGTTCCCTAACTTTTGCAGTCACACACATACACACACATACTGCACAGCCTTCCACAGTTGCAGATAGATATATGCCCAGAGACATATCCACCCACACTGATACAACACCCACACCCAAACACAAATTAATGGTAAAAGAAAGAAAGACAGAAATCTGGCAAACTCATCTACCAACTGAAGTCTACACGTTGCACTCCATTTCAAGCCACTCTGGGAAAAACCAAGTGCGCATGTTTTCACTTATACTTGTGTGTCTTGCATATTTGCACAAGCAAGTCAATGTATATGGAACTGAATAGATGACATACATAAATACATTACATATTTTGGCACAACTGGCTGTTGTTTTCTGTGCAGTAGGTCTGGAAGGGAAAATTCATGCTTTTTTTTTTAAAAGGAAACCAACTAAAAAAAGCAAAGCAAACTAACTTGTTTAGGAGAAAAGTAGGAAGTCACACTTTAATTCCACTTGACTATATCCTTGATTTGTGTGTTTGCATGTGTGTGCCTGCCATAAGCCATAAACATCAGCTTGAATCCAAAAGTAAATAGATTACCAAATCAAGCGAGAGTGTAGATTTTACGCCACAAAAGAAGAGAAGGAAAGTTTAAAAAAAACCCACCCACCCACACACACACACACACACACACACACACACACACCTACACACACACACACACCTACACACCTACACACACACACACACACACACACACACACACACCCACACACACACACACACACACACACACACACACATATAATTTTTTAAGTCAATCACACAAAGTTTATTAAAGACTTTTATGTCTTTTTGCTACCACCCCCACATTCCCCATCTATTTTAAATTGGTGTGATCCCGTTCAGGCGATCCCTGGAGTGCCCCTAAACCCCTCCAGAACCACGTCAGAAAACATCAGAGGAGCGGCGGAAAATGAAATAATAAACGGAACATAACACAGCAACCAATATCCCATCAAAGGAGCTGCTGAGGATATTAATATCGACGCTGAATGGAAAATGAGGCACTTAGACATACAAATCGGGCTGGCAAATTTGCATAAAAACAAGATTAGAATATGCACTGACAGGGAGGAAAAATGTTCCTCTGGCTTTTTTCTTTTTGGAATTGGTGGAACTAGTGGGGGTCTGGGATGCATCAGTAAACACCGAGTCTTTACTCACATGTAGTATATTCTGTGCCACATACTTTACAGAGGAGTCACTGATAAAGCTCTCACGAACATGCATACAAAAAGCTAAAAGAACTGAACTTAAAACAAAAAACAAACTTAAGTAAGGCCAAAATGTACTTTACTTTATGTGGTCAACTTTGGGTAAAAGGCTAGAATCTGTTATTATCAACTACGGCTAGGTTCATTTAGCTACCTTCACTGTATACGTAAAAGCGATGCTAATATGAGCTAGCAGTAAACTGAAGTGTACTGACCAGAAAACATGAATAGTGTCCCTTACTATTACTGTATGTAGGTGGTAAGTCGTATTTAAGTTTTAATTTTTAAAAAATGGTAACTTCAAATATTATAGTTTTTTATTGAATAAAAAAAATTTCAGACAGTATCAAATCCCGTTTCCTGGGATAGTACACTTGTTGTGCATGGGCCTAAACAAAACCCCCCCTCCAGAACACCATCCCAGACGGCCTTAAGCATGGAACTAAATCTATATAAAAAGGAAAGAAAGAAAGAAAGAAACTGGCTACAGTGGAGAGAGGATGCCCGACACAGTAAAGGAGGGTGTGCTGACTGTACTTTTGTTAGAGTCAGCAGTTCGATCTCAGTATCGATAGTATCATTATCAACACTGGTATGGGTATAGGATAAATACTAGAATGACAGTACTTCGTAAGCGCAGTATGAAGTCTAGTGAATTGTGTTCAATAAAAAAGATATTTAGTTGGTAAGGGATCAACACCAAAATTTGCAGTATGGCACAACACTTTTCACTCAGCATTAGCAGTGGATTAGGGGAGGGGCCGTCAAGAGGGGCCATCGAGAGAGATACAGGTCATACAGGGTTTCACCTCTGTTCTAATCAGGCAAATCAAACCAATGCAGGACAGGCAGAAATTCATAATTCCATCTAGTCAACATTAAAGCCTGGCAATCAAAGCAAAACAGAATTGGCATTGTTCAGCAGCAGCTGTGTACACTTATTCTTTCAGTGACTTCATCCAGCTTGATTGAGCAGTTTTGTGTTGCTAACAAAAAAGGGAAAAAAAGAAGAAAAAACCTCAAAGTCTTCATATCGTTGCTGCAGTTTTGCAGAAAGCAGATAGAGCCAACTGCACCCACCCACTCTTGTAGTACGCATATGAAAATGTAATTTCAGTGGTATTTTGGAGGTGTCACTGCAAATTATGAGACCAATTTCAATGAAAGTAAAGAAAAAACAAACAAAAGAGAAAGAAATCCTCGCTTGTACTTCAGCTTTTGAACATTTTCCTTGCTTGCCACTGAAATGTGAGCACAGATTATTTTGCACAGAATGAGTTCAACATTTGCTTCGACAGGCTTAGTTTCCTCTGCAAAATTAAAACATTTTCAAAAGTTTGCCTGCTCATTATGCTCTGAAAGATCAACTTGGTGATACATATAGACAAGAAAAAGGGAAAGGAAAGAAATGAAGAGTGGAAGAGCAGAGGAGAGCTAAAGATAGAGAGCCCAGGAAGTATTAACTTCAGTGATGTGGCAGGTCTAATAGATTGGGTGACATCAAACTCAAGGCTGTCAGTCTGTCTCGCTTTCTCAAACACACACACACACACACACACACACACACACACACACACACACACACACACACACACACACGCACACACACACACACACACACACACACACACACAGAAACTCCTTTTCTCTTTCTCCCTCTTCCAGCTTTGCCTGCATTGTGAACTGAAATGACACAGTGGCGTTCTCCTTCTGTTCAGCTAAACCGCGGTTACATGTGTTTTGGCCTTGTGTGTGTCCGTGTTGTGAGTATACTGCCTACCTTCCTCACACTGTCATTATTTTCTTCTGTTTTCTTAACACTTTTGTGAAAGGAAAAGAAGGAAGAAAAATAGAAACAAACCGCTACATGGTTGAGTGAGGTTGGGTTAAAGCTACATTTTTTGCTGTACCAAACAAAGGCGGTGGGTGTATGCGGCACTGAAGAGACAGGACACCAACCAGTTTTTTTTACTAGCATTTGTACAAAAAAAAGACTCAAAATAGATAAAAAGTCATAGTGTGAAGTCAATGTCGTGTTTATCTACTGTGTAAAGCTGAGCATCAGACAAATGGCACTCAGAGAAAGAATTAACCCACCGCATTCTCGCTGTGAGCAAAAATAAAACAGTCAGGAGAAGTGAATGAGGCGCTGGTCAAAGGCAGCCGGTTAACGCACCTGAGCCTGTGATTCCGGGTTCACCTGGGCAAGAGGCCGTGTTGTTGCACATGCGTGTTTCCCGCAGGGCACCGCTGCACAGTGTCCCATAGGGAGAAGAAACACACGATCGGGTCCTCACTTGCCAGCCCTGCCCACATGTCAGAGAACACACACTCCACTGCGACCATTCCTCCGCTGCTGGGTCACCTAAGGAGCAAGATGGACATGAACATGGAGAGGATAGTTATATACGCACAGTGTTTTTAATGATCCTGAGAGTCAGATGCGCGGCTAAGGTTGAATAACAAGAGAAATCATTCTTTCCTTTTATCACTTGTTCAAATAAAACACATTTGTAACAAGACTGCACTTTATTATCTCACAGCTTAATTTGGTGCCTTCACACGGATGTACTGCTGAAATCTCCAAATGCATTTTTATAGAGGCAGTATGAAATTTTCAGCCAATTTCCAAGTGGTCTTGGTAACCCCACGCCACCCCACTTTCTACAAAAAAACCCCTGCCTGCTCTGTAGGAGTGTCATGATTCTGGTGTCTCCTCAGGTTAAACAGAAAAGAGACGAGGAAGAGGTAGAAGATGATCTCAGCTCTGCAGCTCAAAGTTTATACTGCTATGTAAAAGTGGCTCGTAATGCAAAAAGCCAACAAAAAAAGGAAAAGAAAAATGATTTCCATAAAGGGTAATTACAATAAATTCCTCGCTTTATAACGGAGTCCTAAAATGTCCCAACAAATGGAGCAGACAGAAACTATTACTGGAGATGTGTGACAATTTTCAAGTATATTTTCGCTTCCAGTTTTCACAGAAGCACCGCCAGCATTAAAAGATGTTTGCTTTATTGATTGCTGTTTAGCGGCTCTCGGATTCCTCTGCTCTTCTGTTTACCGTAAAAAAATGAAAAAAACAAACAAAAAAACCCATCAAAATCTGCTTTTGGAAAGCAGTGACACCGGTGCAACATCACAACAAAAAAAGACAAACAAAATTGTAACCTATGCAATTAACAAGGAGTAAAAAAAGAAACTTTTGGGAATGTGTGACAGGTGATGAAAGTGACACGATGTAGCTTTTTTTCTTTACTTATTCACACTAAGAGTGTTATTGTAAATAAATCTTGACGGGATATTAATGAAGATGATGATCATGCTCCAGGAAAGTTTTTTTTAAAGGTGATTCAATTAATTAATGGAATTATGGTAACACGTATGATCTCACCGCTAAAGGCCTTTAAGTCTCAAAGCAATTCTGTGTGTGTGTGTTTGTGTGTGTACATATTCGACTCTGTGTTGTAAGCACCCATATGAGATTAGGTGTTTAGACTTGATGGAGTCTAATTTGGAGTTCTCCAGGCAGCTGTGGAGAGGGTCCCATTGTTCCACTGAGCTACGCCCTTGAAAGCGAAAACGAGGAACCAAGTCCCTCCACTTCTCTCTTTGTAAATTGTTTATGAGCGCCGTGTCCTTTGATGGAGGCGTCATCACATGGCAAAGAAGGAAATCAAATTAATTGCATGTCCGTTAATCGCATTACATCTTCATTAACATGCTGTGAGTCAGGGCTTAAGCTCATCACAGATGCCTAGAGGACTAGAAGAATGGGGGAAGAAGCAAGGAAGGGGAGGGGTAGACAGGGTAGGATGAGGACAAGATAGACCCAGGGGTTTCCCTCCTATTAAGGGACTTCCTCCTCTACGCCATATATATGAATATGGAAATGCATGTGCATGCAACATGGAATATCTTGTATGTTTAAGGCCGATTCGTATTATATTATATATACATACATGCATGTGACATTCTCATGGTTAATAGATCAGTCTTTGAATAATTTACTCTTTTTTTTCCCATTTTTTCCAAGTTTCACACGCCGACCCAAAAATTTCACACTTTCACAAACTCACACAAGTGAATGATTAAAGGTGGCAGCTGCCCTAGGTTTGCTCACCGAAAAGGAAAAGGTACACCTTACATAATTATTCATAAAACTGTTTTATAGAAAACTGAGGATTTTCAGTGGGACATACAGCCTGTAAAGGTCAGGTTGTCTTCTTTCGTTCCAGGCTCTGGGCACCATTGCACACTCATAATACTCACCTGTTTGTGCCTGAAACACACCTGGCTGGTCAGCTGATCGTGGTCTTTGGGTCTTCACCTTCAGGTCGTCATCATACGGGTCTGAAAAAAATAACAGACATTTTTTTTTTTCATTTTAATCTTAACTTCCTTTTGATTACATGGTACCGCTCAAAATATATGAGGGCTCCATGGGTTGCATGGGCAAATCAAACCTGAATTTAAAAGCTGTCGTAAATAAGCGCTCATCACCATCCACATTTCACTTTTATGTTCAGGAAAAGTAAAAAAAAAAATACAGGAAAGCTCAAGTACATCCAAAACACGACTCTGGCAAAATAAAAGTACAAACGCCTACATTTCCTTGGCTTAGTCCTTGTAGCAGGAAATTTAAAGAACATGACGAGACGTTTTAGCACACGCAGCGCGGTAACAGATAACAGACTGTCAAATCTAGTGTATAATCTCAGAAAATCAGGAGGAAGCAAATTTGAACTGGCTCATTAGAGGGGAACATTAGGAGGGGAAAACATGAAAAAAAAGAAGAAGTATATCTTCTTTTGAACGCATGCTGATGGTTCAGCGCAGCAAACCAAGTAAATAAAAGTTCTGGCTTGGAGATGAGACTCCACACACACATATAAAATGCACCAGCGGGACTTGATCTATCAAATATGTGAACATCTCACATAAGCGGTGAGCATTTCTGGAAATGGCATTAAGTCGGTCTCTGAGAGTTAGTGAAATCACACAACATATCTAAGTCAGTTTCATCTCAGCTGGTAGAAACGTGGAGGCATGCGTACAGGCCGTTCTGTCTGGTTCAAATGGATTTGTAGGCTTAGTTTCACCAATGCAAGTCTTAATCAACTCCCTCGGCGGGGGGAAACAATCTTTTCTTTCACAGATCTTTTTTTTTCTCCATCTGGATTCTTCTTACCCAATGGGATCTTTTTTGCAGCAGCTGCATTTATGGAAAAGGAGCTGACACACGTGGCGTATCTAAGGTACATTATCTGCACGGAATGTGATTGTGTGTCTGCGTATTCGATTACAGAGAGCAAAAGTTAAATTTCCTCGCGTTAGCCTCCATCAAGCAGTTGACCCAAGGAAAAACAGAGACGTTGCATATCCTCCCTATCCGGCACACACGCACACACTCACACATGCAAGTGTGAATGCCTGGGAAGTGTGTTGAGGCTCTGCCATGATTGCACAAACGCCCATTGCTACCAGCCCTTTAATTTGGCCTTTTAGAGAATCAACTCTTTGGTGGGGGGGAAAAACTCGTTACCCGTTTGCTCGTTTTCTGCATTGTTCTCAACGTGATCATTTAACAAAAGACCTTTTTTTTAAATCAATGGAAAAAAAGTAATAATCCTGTTTACGTGCTGTCTGCGCTGTTGCAGGTTACAGCCGTGGGTAAAATAAATAACTGTTGTGCACATGTGTGGTCTGTTTGTTTACTTTTAAAAGAAACTAAAATGAGCAAATGGTGCACCGGGAAAGTATTTAATAAGACAATTAACAGATTTCATTTTCATCTAATTGAATCATTTCTTTAAAAACAAATCACATGTCAGCATTGCATCAGATTAGACAATCAAGCACAGAACGGAGATGCACATGCCAGCATGCCCAGGGATTTGAAGGAGTTTTCATTACGCAATCTTTCTCGGGTCAGCTCGTGGTACGGACGCCCACTTACTTAGCTGCAGGTTTTACAGTCATATTTTACACGGAAAATGTGAGACCTTGAGCGAGCGTATCGTGCTCCCAGAAATTTATGGCTTGCTTTGCCACAGTCCTGGGCTTTATTGACTGTACTCATCATTGACGCTACACTAAGATTAGTCATCCTCCTAAACAAGCAGCATTCATTAGCTGAAATATGGCGTCAAAAGGTAGCTTTTTCACTGCTCTTTTAGTTTTACTCTCAAGCTCAAGCTTGACTCATTGTTAGATTCCTTGAAACTGCAGCCTGGGAGACAAAAGATTCAGCAAGGGTTGAAGAAAATGTCTACACTACCTGACACCGTTGTTGGTAAGAAAGCACCCGTGGTTTCCGTATTATTTGCATCCAATTCAATTCAGTTTTGTTTACATAGTGACAAATGACAAAAACAGTCACCTCGTGGTGCTTTATATTGTAAGGTAAAGACTCTACAACATTAATTGGCCAAGTTAAACAAAGTGTGTTAAGAAGGTGTGTTTGTTAAGGCCACCCATCCCTATATGTTCTCATCCCACATTCATCAGTGACTTTAGGGTAGAAAATCTGAGTGAAGCTGAATGATCTATGATATTCTATAACAGGAAACAATCAAGTCATCTGCCTCGATGCATACCACTTTAACTGGACAGTCTAGATTTTTTTTAATTGAACTTTAAGTATTTCAGAAAGTATGTAGAGTTAGTTTGAGCCCAATCCTGGTCCAGAGCAAATTAAGCCCAGTAAGTGCTCGAGGTCAGTGAAGCAGGACAGAAGAGTAAGGTCTCAAAATCTTTATCACCTTACTTGAGTGTATAGTTCTTTACAGAGACTGTACACTCAAGTTTGCTTCCCTCAATGCACAGATTTGTCTTCCTTTAGTTTGTCCACTTGTCTCTTTGGACATAGGTAGGGAAGTAAAATTTATTTATAGCACTTTTTATAGATAAAAATCACAAAGTGCTTGACAATGAAAAAAATTATGTGACAGTTGGTTCATTCATGTAAGACACTGTTATGAAGATGTTGCAAGATGAGCATGTGGGAAAAAAAGTGTGTAGACAGTGTTGGGGAGTAGCAGAATATATGTACCGGTGTTACGTATTTAAAATAGAAAATATGAGTAACTTTATTCCGTTACAGTTAACGCTGGAATAGGTGATAATTAGAATACAGTTAATTTATTGAAATAAATGGATTACACTGCGGTCTTTTCCTTTTTCATATGTTAGGCTATCCCCTTTCAGATTTTGGTAATTCCACACATTGCCGGAAACCCAAGGAAACACACAATAAGAGGCTCTAACGTAAGCGTCCTGTTAATGTTGGTGGCATCAGTTACACAATGGACACGGAGCCAGCACAACAGAACCATCAGTCCACGGGCAGGAATGCATTTCTTACTTGGAAATTTCGACACCACTTCACATTTAAAGAAGAAAGGGATAGGTGAAATCTGACCGTGCAACGCAAACTCTGTTTGCCAGCAAACAAGCTGCTCTCAGCGTCAAAAGACTCCACCTTCAACCTAAAGAAACATCTGGAAGTAAGTTCTTTTTTAAAAACTAATGTTAGCCTACTGCAACTCCCTTGTTTCAGTTGTGGTAGCTACCTGGGTTATGTGCCACCTCAATATCTTTGATGTACTATTGTTGTGTGATTTATTACTATTACTGCATTACAACCTGCTGGCTGCAAATAATCATGTGCAGTTCTGAAAGCAGACAAAAAGAAACGTATAACTGAACTGAAAATAAATATGGCAACAACGAACTATGGAATTTTAATGAGACATGGCAAAGTTCAAGGAGTCACCGAGTTTGTGAACCAGTGAGTGAACAAGACAGTCATGGTGCGCTTCCACTGGGGTGCTGAAGTGTTGCTGTGCTTCCTAGCACTGGACACATGATGGACAAGCCATTAGAAAGTGATGATAGATGGTTGACAGTTGCTGTCCCTCTCCTTCTTCTTATGATTGGTGCATGCCGCTTGCGGGCTGTCTTCTCCCAGACTTCAAAACTAAATGAATATAGCGACTCGCTTACAAACTTTCTTCATCCATCTTCTTCTGCTTATCCAATTCTTATCCGGAGGTGGGTGGCTGTCCCAGCTGTCATGGGCCAAGAGGCAGAGTACACCCTGAAGAAATCACCAATCTGTTGTAGGGCTAACACATCAAGACAAACAACCATTCACGCTCACTTAGACTCACCAATTAATGAACCCCATGCATCTCTTTGGACTGTGGGAGGAAGCCTGAGAGCCCCTCATGCAAACTCCACATAGAAAGGCCCCCAGGCTGGAATTGATGCCAGGACCTTCTTGCTTTAAGGCAACATTGATAACCACCACACCAATGTGCTGCTCCAACCTTCCTTCATTATGAGAACTCTTAACACATGTGATGCAAGAAATAAGTTATGATTTTGCTGTACCTGTCTTTTGCATTGACAACAGATAGTTTTAGAGTTTTTCACAAGTTAACGGAGGTGTAGCGTAGTAGACCCAACACCCCTAGTTCCCTTGAAACAGCCTACACTTCAGCTTCATGTAAATGAAGAACTGGCAAAATGTAACGTCGTGCAACCAGAATGCATTAGCATGTGCTACGTCCCTGGTCAAGAGGTAACCTACACACAAAATTACTCGGGACTTCCCACTCTTCACCACACCAAAGGAAGAGTCAACCAGGTCCAAGATACTGAACAGCAGTTTATCTGCACATAAACTCACACACACACAAATCAACACGAGGCCCGATTTGCGCCCAAACTGGCAAACTGGCGTTGTTTCATTGCACATACATTTCAAATGATCATGTTTTTTTTTCATCCTCCATGTTCTTCTCTAATTTTCAAATCTTCCAACTCCCACACCAGAGGTTCACAGTCTGTCTTTTTGCCTTACAGCCCCTCTCCCTCTGTCTGTGGCCTTTTTCTCTCTCAGTTCTATAACAAGATGAGAATTTAGAAGCATGTTAGAAGGATCGATGTGAGATGAGCTTTGGCCCCCCGCGAGATGAGCGGTGATCAAAACAATAAACAAAAACTTCCAAAGACCCTCCTACTCTTCCGTAACCAAAGTGAAAAGGCAAGCAAACGAGTCCTCTAACCTGAGCACCTAAGCACAAAAACATGAAAAATAATTCTCAATAAAAAGGGTTTTTACCGGTTACAAAGACTATTTTTTGCCAGCAGCTCACAGCTAACAGCACAAATATCGGATTTCACTCTCTCAACTCTCGGATTGAAGTTTGAATTCCCAATTATGCTACCTAAACAAAACTCCCCGTTCAAATACCAAACTATCTGCTGGCTCACTGATAGATAGGGAAGAGGGGAGGAGAGAAGGGTGAAGTGGAGTTCAAGAGGGTGTAAACAAATATTACACA